CACATTTCCCCACTTCTTGTCCTATTTCAAGCTCCCTCACTTCCATGGATCCAAGTGTCTCAGTGCCCTGCAGCCTTCCCAGCACCTGCAGTGGACGCAGGGGTGTAGTGAACAGAGCCAGAGCCGACAGCGTGAGGAGAGAGAAGAAAGCTGCCACGGCTGCCTGCATTTCATTCCCAAATCCAGCTGATAAAAGCCAGTGTACATTCCCGTGTATAATAGCTAGGTTATCTGAGGGTACAGGCTATCTAAGGACTTGCTTTCACAGAGGAATAATTTATCCAGGGTGATACAAGACTCATGTTTCACATGCGAAAACACAGTAATTCTGTAATTTGTTTGTTATACCTTGATAACTTATGCCTTCACCAGTCCCTTGTGCCAGGCAAAATCCTCATATCTGCACAGTGCAAGTGCAGAACTCGATTTCCTTTGTCATCTTTCAAATCCTGCCTAGGTAAGAGAAAGGTTTGTAACTCACTCTACACACCAGCATCACTGTACTTATTCCTATATTCTGAGCTAGTACCTTTGGTCCCACGTGGGAAGCATAGGATGGGGAGAAATCTGGGTCCCCACACCAAGAGCAAATGTAATATCCAATCAGAGCGTCCTACCTGGGAGGAAGGATAGATAGACCTCTTGGAGCTGCTCACTCTCTAGGCATTAAAACCAGGGAGATTTATGCACAGAGATCTTGCAAGCCTGCTGTGGCTGTTCCTCTGGTTGCTTGCTGTGGGTCCCTGTAGAGAACAAGTAAAATGTAAGTAATACTTCTCCATTACCTCTTCAAAGATTAAGGTTTGAAAATTAAAGTATTAAGTTACTTTTGAAAAAACCTTTAGAAAATGCTGTATTTTAGAAAATGAGGCATCCTGTCAAAAGTTATTAATAGAGCTTGTAGTTGATGCACAAAGAGAGCAGCAAACTTTTGATACATTAAGCGAGCAAGCAGCAAACTTTTTGATACAACAGGGACTAGCCAATGAGCTTTATGAACCAGATGTGACGATTGCCACTCTCAAAACCCTCTAAAAGCAAATGCCTTAGCTGTCACGGGGGGCTGTGCTGCAAAAAATCTTCACAGTGCTGCAATCTCTTGCCGTCTGTGCTGTCCTTCGCTGTCCTGGCTGCTCCAATGAGACTGCCTGTGCTCCCCGTCCCACTCTGGTCCTGCTGCTGTGGCCCTGCTCCCTCGCTGGGTCACTGGACTGCTCTCAGACAGACTTCCCTGGAGAAAGACCCATTGCACCCGCGTGGATCTCCCCCATCGCACTCTATAAGCCAGAGCTGGATCCATGGTGCTGGTAACTCCTTTTCTGTGCTTCTTTTAATCATTCTGGCATTACTTTTATGTTTCTCTCTCTTTCTTTCCTCTTTTATGAAAAATAAAATTGCATTATCCCTTTGGATCCCAACATTTAACCTCATTTGTGTTTTAATCTGGCTTTCAGCTATGTTTAGAACCTAGTTCCTTTCTGCAGTTGAGAATTGAGGCAAACCTGCCTCTCCTCCCTTTAAGCAGATCAAAACAGTCCCCCAGTACCTCCCCTGGGCCTAGAAGAGAGCTGCTGCATTTGCACATTGCAAGCTCTGTTCCTCCATGCTCTCACCACATTGTGGGATGTCTCCATCTGGGGGACAACTTTAGACTTCTCTTTAGACTTGCAAGAAACTCTTTTTGTAAGATATGTGGCTTCTTTGTCCTTGTCATCACATAATGAACCTCTTGTTTCATGCAACTAGAGCCGTGTACTTCAATCCACAACCAAGTCATCTCCAAAGGAATGTCCTCCAGAAAGGCAACTCCTGCAGATAGCTGACATCACAGAAGTATTAATTACAAACATTGCCTTCTACTTTTTATTCTTATGTCTAGTAAAAGTGCCAGTTAGTTTTTTGTAAACTGGGCTTGGTTTATAATGCAATGGTTTAACAATCTATTCAACAGATTATTTTTTCATTTTTCTATACCTGGTATCTCTGAGGACAAATGAGTCAAATTCTTACTGTAGCAGTTAATTCTCAGCGATGTCTTTTCCTGCTAATCCTCTCTTCAACTGTTCCAGGACTGGTACATATTACCAGGTAGGAATGAGTCTGATTATATTCCAGATATGCACTCACTGTTTGTGCATTCATTAAACTTGCACTTACTCCACAAGGATTTCAGCAAACTACTAATGTTCTCAAACTGGTCAAAAGCAATCAGCCAAACATGAAATCATGCGTTTTGGCTGTAATCATCACTTCAAGATTTTGCTGTTGCATTCTACAGAGACAGATATGCTTGAAATGAAAAAGTGAATGTATTGAGTGAAAATGGAAAATTATATTACATTTAACAAAAGGAAACATTTATTAAAAAAACATGTTTTCTATAAGGAAACAGCGTCTAACTGATATTTCTCGTGATTACTTCTTCCTGTTGAGAATAGTTTTTCTTTCCTGGCATTATTATCTATCATGCAATAATGGTAATAGATGAGCCCTGACATAATTCAAGAATTTGATCAGGGTTATCTAATGACACACACTGAACGAACAGCCTCTCAAGGGATTGTGACTTCCAGCCTAAAGTGAAATACAGTGGCTTTATTTTGCTCATATAATGGCCTCCCCTGCCATCAGTATAAAAGATTAGAAAGTTCTTTTGTACAGCATATTGTGTTTATCTTAAAATTCCATCTGATATAACATCTGCATCTGAGACAAAACTACACTTCTGAGATCTTCCTCTCTGTGCTTTCTCAGGGGTTGCCTTAAACTCTTCGCATACAGTTACATGCATGCAAACATTTTCACACCCAATCTCAAGAAAAATCCTAATTTTGGTGCAAAATTGAAATAGAAATGGATTGTTCATGTGTTTCTTTGTGAATTTATAAATGTGGTTATGTACTGTAAATTTTTAGAAGAAAAACTACCTGCTGGTTTAGCATGTTAGCAGCAGGCAAGGTAGTCCCATTCAGGAGCCCTAGCAGTAAATTTCTCGGAGGGAGCTGTGAAGTGATACTGGTACCTGTTTTGCTCTCCTCCTCACTAAAGGGCAGAGTCTGTAATATTCAGCACACAACACCTTTGGTGGGTGAACTCTGCAGCAGTGCAAGCTCTTGTGCAGTTTATGTGCTCACACCAGCACAAACTCACCAGGGCAAGGTTAAGCCTAAAATTCTTTTGATAGCCAAGGCCTTGCAGAGGGGAGACATCCTCTTCATGTTTCCATTTTATTGTCTCTGTACAAGTTGAGGACAAAATGTTCATGCCTGTGTTTTACACAAACTTCAAGGCTAAAAACTCCAGGCTGGAAAGTGTATCTAAATACAAAAAAGTTTGAGAAAACAGCTCCCCTACTCCTCTGCCTTCCATCCCCCCTCCCAGCTCTGTTTAGATTCTTGGTCCTCACTGTTTAAAACTACTGGTGTAGAGATAGAAGTGCTGTCCCAAAAGCAGCTATTTAAAACTATCTATGGTCACATCAGTCTCACTTGAAAAACCTGGTGGAAGAGTCATTAATAAAAAACCTGTCCTTTCTGAAGTATCAGTGGTCAGCATAATTGTAGAAGGGCTGGGCAAAGATGATACATTGGATTTATTGTATTTTACACCTTTTTTTGGAAGATAACCCAAAGCCCTCTGTCGTGAATGCTGCTTGGCTCCCACAAGTCCAGCTGTGGGTTATCCTCTACAGCCTTGGCTGGTATTGTGTGGGCAAGTTGCACTGTTCTGTGCTCACTGGAGTGCTCATGACCTTACCCTTAACAATCAACTCAAATACCTGCAATATGATCAGTGAGCAAAGCACCTGATACTGCTTGTTATTACCTCCTTCAGTACAGTCTGTACAAGAAGATGACACAAAGGTGTAGCAGTCTGACTGTCAGCAGAGATTCCCATCCTTTGCTGCTGAGCAATAAGAGCTGGTGCTGTCAAAGCTCAGCCTGAGTGATGCAGACTTGAGCATGCTGATGATGTCCATCTTTTTTGGTGCTCTGCACCATCTTGTGGCTAGCAGAAAAACACCAGAATAGCCTCTGAAATCTTCACCTTGTTTTTCTTTTTTGGTTTGTTTTTGAGTTTTGTGTGTGTCTTTCTTAATGAAAAGTATAAATGGTCAGTATACACAGATAAAATTCAGTGCCCTTTTTACAGCTGACATGGATCTCTGCAGGCTGACTTACAGACCAGCAAGTGGGAAGACCATCATTACAGATGACTAGGTTGTGTCCAGGTCCTGTAATGTACATAGATTAACCATCTGCAGAAGAGTCACTTGCATTTTCATGTATTTGAAGCAAATCAGATATCCTGGGTGTTAAGTACTGAAAAACAGTGAAGAATGTTGTTCCAAGAAATGGTTGTTATTGATCATGAAAGGTTTTCCCATATTCTTGAATTCCTTTGTCTCTTTCAAAAATTATTTTTAAACAGAGCTGGAGGATTCATCATCGTTGTTAGTAACATTGTCTTCACTTGAAAGTTTGTCATCCAGTACTTGCAGTCCTCAATTTCCCATGAATAGACTCAACGTTACATTGTACAGAACAAAGGTTATTATTGTGAAGCTTTTTTATGGTAAACAGCCTTTTTCTTTCAGAGAAACACATTTTTTTCCATCCTTCAAATCATAATAGATGTCAGACCATGACTGTGTTTTCAAAGGAGTAGAAGGGCATCAGCTATCCTTGAATTTCAGTGTGACAAGAATCAGACTTTCCTGTGCTCTATAGAAAATTTCTTCCTGATACATAACTTCTAAGCCAGGGGAGCCAGTGATGGGTTATCCCCTTAATGCCAAATGCATGAGTTGCTTTGGCATACCCACATCCACTTTTAGAAGAAGGAGATGGGATGACACTCAGCCTGATTTGGGTTTGCCATATCTTATGCTTCTTTTCCTGCTCTCCATGACCATTTGTCCATCCACGGTCATGCAGGGAAAGTTGGGTGGGCGTGTGAAATTATGAGGCTCCTCACAAATCTCTTCCTTTTTTAAACAGAAAAAATGGCTCCACAGGTGGTGTCCTCAACCTGTGCCACCCCGCTGCAGGAGGATGAAGAAGAGGAAGCAGAAGTCAGCAGACGCATGATGGCCAGGAGGGCGAAGATCATTGTAGAGCTCATGCAGACAGAGAAAGACTACATCAGCGACCTGGATCTCTGCATCAAGGAAGTGATTCAGCCCCTGAGAAACAAGCAGGTGAGCGCTGGGGCCAGAGGATGAGGCAGTGATGCCAAGGTCTCAGCTCAGCCACTTCTGCTTGCAGATAGTCTCCATGCTGGGAGTGGGTCTGGAGCCAGCACTCCAGGACATGATATGTCAGGGCTCTGGTGGAAGGTCAGATATGCTCCTGACTACTTGTGCTGCACTTGTGTAAAGCCTACATTGAGGTACTTGTCCAGAGGTTAGCTCGGATATTACATCCCTGCCTATGGGCTGCAGTAGTAACTTTGAGCTCTCCCTTCTGCTCTGTAGTTATAACCCTTGTTATGTGCCATGGCAGATGTTTACTGGTACTCCAAAATGAAGGTTTTATCCACAATAGAGACTGAAATGGTGTGAACCTCTGCATTAAGGTTAAATTCAATTGTTAAGATAATTTTGTCCATCCTTTCAGACAGCTGTGGTGGATAAATACCATGCTTGACAGGCCAGTGAGGACTTGGGAGATTTGTATTCCACACAAAAGAGGTACATTTAAAAAAGAAGGCTCATAAACTACCTTTCATGGGAAAGATCTTATTAGGCCAATGATACCTATTTTCTTTTTCAGCTGAGACTTCAAAGAGCACCTTTTCCTCAACAGTATTTCAATTTGTAGAAAAGTGATGCTGGGAATAGAGGAGATTGTCCAGAGAAAGATTTGTGTTTGTGAGGCCTGAAACGTAACATTCACAGAGGCTGCATAAATGGCATCTGCTGCAAAAATAGACTAAAAATAATTTTAAACAGACTTTAACCTACATATTCTTTATGTGGGGTTTTGTATTAAAGTGGTAACAAAATACAGGTGCAGAGACCAAAGTGTCTTTAGGTGACATTAGCAGTTCCTCTTAATCTGTGCTGTTAAAACTCCTGCAGGACTTTTTTGCTTTCCTAAAACTCTGTCACAATTTGTTCCAACCCATTTTCAGAAAAACTGGCATCTGCCGACATAACTTTAAGGAGTTCTTGACTTCTTCCTCCCTCACTCATTCATCCACTTAGAAGTTGTCTCCACTTGACTTCCTCTCCAGCCTGGCCAGCACCAAGCAAGAGTATTTATTCCCTGGCTGAACTCGCTGAGATTTTTTGACAAATGTGCCATATTCTAGCTCTCTTTTTCACTCAACTGAAAACATTCTTTTTGATTCTGTCCTTTGCTACTGTGTTAATGTTTGGAATTGTCCACGCACAATGTAGTTCCAAGTACTATTTAGACATGCCAGGGCAGAGGTCAGAAGTCCTGTGCTAGATGTATACAGGAAAAGTAATTTAGAGATTATAGCTGTCTTAATTTAATAACCTCTGCATTTTTGAAAGGCTTTCAGGAACATTATATGTTTTTAATGCTAGCTCTCCAATAAACTACCATCTTGAAAGTTTGTAATGTGTTTAGCAAATTGGTCTAGCAATGAATCTGTTTCATATTTCCAAATGGATAAAACATGTTTTAGCCCCTATAATGCTTATAAAGAAATTAAGTTAGTACTGAAAGTGAATTTCTGATTTTGTTACAATGACATGCAATTTGATCCTCTTGGCATCTGGTAAGCTGCTATGTAAATCAGCAACTCTCTTCCAAATGGAGAGGTAGGTTCAGAGGGTGTCGATATGGGTAATGAAATTGGTCTTGTCTTTGTTCTCAGTATGAGCACATTACCACTGGTTATCTCCAATGGTCCCCGAATAGTAACTATTGCCCTGCTGTGCAATGAAAAGTATGTGTCCTGGAAATCTTTTACTTCCTCTAAAACGAGTAGAGACACAGAACCAAATTTTCTGCTGGTAGAAATTGATACAATTCACTGAAATCCATGTTGTGTGTCCAGGCTCTATAAAAAGTTCTTTAGGTTGTATTGATATCCCAAATTGTAAATATGTTTGCTTTAGTCGAAATTATATGATCTTGACTTTGGACAACTAAATTAGAATGGCACCAGCTATCTAGAAGTCTTTGTACTTGGTAGCTGGCACCAAGTGCCAAGCTCTCAGTTTATGCAGTGGCCTCTGATAGTGAGTGGTAATCAGGGAATCAAACCCACTGTCAACTATTGTTTTCCCCAGTGGGAAAGTAAACAGACATTTCAAAGACAGCTAAGGGTCTTTTCTTAATTTAGATGATAATATTTTTTTCCTTCCTAGGTAAACAGTTTCAGATTAGGGATAGTTCAAAATAAGGTTAAAAACACTTAATAACATACCTTTTGTTAACTGTTTCGACCATATTATATACTAGTGTGAAAACGGTGTTTTTGTCCTTGAAGTCACAAGGAGGATGTTTATATGAGATTTTGCAGAAGTGGTGCTTCCTGGAGTGTTGAACACTCAGGGCATAGCAATAGAAGCTGTGTAATACACAATGTCCTTCTTTATCCTTTGTCAGTAACTGCTTAATGTTTGTATTCCATTAGATTGCTCGCTTTGACGTTGATGGCTTGTTTAGCAACATTGAATTGGTCCATCAACTATCAGCCAAACTGCTGTCATTGTTGGAAGAAGCCACAACAGATGTGGACCCACCCATGCAAATAATCGGTATGTTTACTCTCCTCTTGAGTTCTACAAAGCTATGTGAAAGAATAAACATAACACTCTCCTGGCCTCTACTCTCATCAGACTTAACTAGTACCCCCTCAGAGGCTGGCATGCTAGAAGCTGTCCAAAATCACACAGGAAAAATAACATGTGAAACATGTCCAGTTGCTGTTCTGTACTTGTATGATTATGATGCTTCTTTTTCCATCCATCTGGATGCTGAGGGGGAGGAAGGAAAGAGAAAATGGGTTTAGAATGAGTAAGACCTGTTGCACTGTGTTGTACAATTTACAGCTGAGATCTGTTTCATCTAGTTTGATATCACCTACCTAAATCCACTTGCGCTGACTCTAACTCTTATTTTGCATACTCAGAGTTGTGCCATTCCGGAAAGTATTAAAATTGTTTGGAATAACAAGCATGTCAAACCCCAATCCACCCCAAACACTCTAAAGATATATCTACTGGTGATACAGTTTGTGTAAGAGGGGTTAAATGTGCTTGACAGGGACATGGACAGTAGAGAGAGATGTAATGAATCTGAAGTTTGTAGGGATTAGGGGTATTTTCATCCAGGTTGGCCCTGGATGTGTCACAAAGTTCTGCAGGTCAGGTCATGAACATTAAAGTGTGATCCACGTGACATTCTGGCACAGCTGGAGAGATTTAAGAAGTTACCAGCATGCATCAGCTCTCCCATGACTGCTTTGTCAGTTCAGAGGCACCTTAGGGTGGGCCACCTTAAGGGATCAGGTGAGAATTCTGCATTTGCTTCAGTGAAAAGTCAGACTGTTTCGTTTAAAAAATTGAATAGTCCAGTTTAAAAAGCTTCCATCTGTGATTCAGAGGTCAAGAGAGGTTCTCTCTTTCCTAATCTGACCACATACCACAGGTAACACCTCATGAAAAGTCCCCCTCCTCTCTCAAATAATCAGGTAAAAAATATCAGTTGCCACTTTACTAAGAAACAGGATACTAAAGCATAAGGGGCTTGGGAAAAGTGTTAATCCTAGCATGTCTCAATCTGGTTTGCCAAGGCAACAGCTTAACGTAGTTTGATACGTCTGTGTTGTTTGGCAGTATTTCAGTAAAAGTGCATCATGATGAGTCATACTCTTAATAAACAATGTTCTATTCTAGCAGGAAGTGCCTTTCTCACAGCCAAGAGAATCATTCTATTAGTTCCCTGCCACTTTCAGAAGTAAAAACAATTTCATCCATTAGGGTGTATATCTCCAGAATTAGACAAAGAACCATGAAAATGCATGGGGTCATTGATCACGGAATTAGCTAACTTATGACAGGAAAAAGGCTGTCAAGTAAAGTGTGAGACATTCTTCCAAAATCTGAGACAAAAATAGGGAGAATAATTCCATCACTCTAAGCAGTAAGTCAGTAGGTTTATTGTCCTCTGAAAGTACACCAAAGTAATAATATTATTTTCAGGATCTTCAGTGTAAAAGTTGTTGAAGCCAGTCTATAGAAAAAGCACATACATCATATTCCATCATATTTAATGTATTTTAAAATCTTGCATTGAAGTATCTTACTTTGGAAGGCAACCCAGTCATGGTGAGGGGGTTCAAAAGAACTGATAATTCACTGCTTTGAAAGCAAAACAATGTGGTTGCTCATATTCATGTCTTGTTTTACTCTATGTTCTCCAGACTTTATACTATGTCCACATTGACAAGTGGTAACGTCCAATAGGAGCAGACTTACAGAATGAGAGTTTCTGCTAAGGAGATGGTATCCACACCACACATTTTAAGAGGTCTTACTTCAGCTTGGGTGTAGCCTGTGCCTGTGGATTGAGATGCCCCTCATGGGGCATGGGAGATGAGGACTAATGAGTGATTGGTTTCAAAACCCATCTCCTAATCTGAGCTAAAATAGGTTAAATACCTTTTGTAGTTCTTTCCTGATTTTTTTTCTCCTCTCTGTTATGGATGCATATTCTTCATATTCCTCTGTATATGTAGGAATATGAAGACTTAGCTTTAGTTATTAGACTCCTTCTTCCCTCTCCTACTGCTGTCTGCACTGGAAGCACCACTGAGAGCAACAGGGAGAAACTGTTTTGTTACTCAAGCCTCCCTTCTAGGAATCTCTCTTTAAGATTGATGACCACCATACTCCAGAAGGGGCTTCAGGGATATTTGTATCTCTCAGAGTATTTTTAAAACTGTGCCAAATATAATGTGGTTTTGGTCCATAAAGTAAGCTCCCACAGTGATATGCCCAAAACTCATCTGATTTGGTCCATACAGCTCAGAACCAAGAAGGGCTTTAGGTTTTAGAAATTCATCTGCTGTTAAAGGGCCCTATTCATGAAATCAGCACATAATTTTTCTCATCATTGAACATCAGTGGAAATATCTGTCACTGTGACACAATAGTTCAGTGAACAGAACTTGCCCAACTCTTTCCTCCTGGAGAAGATAATTTTCAGCCTGTAGTCCACACTGAAATGAGCTGTAAGGTTACATTGTATTTTTCCTACTGAAAACGTGACCTCACTTGAGGGCTTAGCAAAATACAGACCATTCTAAGCACTTGGAGTTCTGCTTGATGTTAGTGAAAATTTTGAGAGCTCATGATCTCTAGAATCAGGTGCCAAGCTTGTGGGATCAAGGTTAAGGCTTGTTAAGGTTTCCCCTTACGTTGTTGGCTAATAAAGAACTGAAGAGAGTTCATGGGAAAGCCAGGACGTAATGTGCGTTGTTAGCCATCAGCACTAGCAGTAAACACAATGCAGAGAAAACAGCTGAAGAGCATTTAACTGTAGGGTGCTGGTGCTTTTCTGACTGTGCCCTTACAGTAACTAAAATATACTGTGATGGTCTTAGCTGCTCCTTGATTTTTCCCTTATTTGCACCCAAAACCAAGATGCATTAGACAGCCCAGTTAACCTTCGCTGCTAGGGGAGAAAACCCAGGGCTGTGTTACTGTGGTAACTGAATCATTTTTCACTTTAAGATGGAGCAGTTCAATGCAATGTATTATGGAACAGCACACTCCGGTCAGGATGAGACATGCAGGATGCCTGACAGCTCAGCGCTTGCTCTGTGAATGAATAGAGAGCTCACAATTAATGCAGCGTTCAGCTTTTAACTTTAATAACCATTGCTATAACTCAACAGGAATGTTTATAAACATCTATTTGGACTGGTTGCCACATAGATATAATTTTCAGTAAATGCCCGACAGGGGTTTTCAGCATTGCTGTTGTTTATTATGTGCATTTCCAAAGATGCTGATCAGGGGGCTGCTGCATAAGGGTGTAAGAACTGAACTAAAATCTCAGCAGAAGAAATTAAGCATGCCTTCCCTGCTCAGATTTCTTACATACACAGAAACAGACACAAGAGTTTTAGGCTGAGAGAATTAGACTCCAGAAGTAAATGGGAAATGAGTGTAGGACTCCTTTAGTGCCTCTAAAATTCCCAACTGTTCTTTATGGGAAAATGGTGGTGTGGAAGACTGGAAAGGGAAATCTTCTCTCTCTTCAGTTGTATATAAACCTAGATATGATATAAAAATGGCTGCAATCCATGCTGGTTTTATTTAATTAGGGGAAGGGTGGTGGTTTTTCTTCTGTTGTGTGGAGAAAATTCTGTATTCTAGGTCATAACAATTGCCTTTTCAGGGTTTTACAAAACAGATAAAATTGAAATGGCTAATGGGAGATAGAGTCATTATTCCTGTTATTACCCGTTTAAGTTCATATTCATGAAAAAAATGTCAAAAAGAAAACTAACAGGCTTATATTCATCCCTCCTGCCAGCCCATGACACAAAAATGGTCTCCCTTTACTAGTTAAGCTCTCCTGTGTGTTTTCCAATGAAGGGGCATTAATCTGGGGCAGTGAATTAAGAGGTTGTGTTTGAAGGGGTGTGAGGTATAGAGATTTCATGATTTTCCCCTGGGGGAATTTTTGTGCATTAACACTGATATAATGGTGCCTGGCTATGACAAAGATGAGCAACTGAGAAATACATGTAATAAATAATGCACATAAACACACAAGATCATTTCTAAGGGAAGTAAAGTGGAAGCCAGCCTTTTTAGCTCACGGCTAATGTGGTGGAATAATAAAACTCCTTCTGAGATGCTGTTGTCTGACTTGACACGCTTTGTTTTTCTCCTTAACAGGGGAAGTGTTCTTGCAGATTAAAGGCCCATTAGAAGACACATATAAAATCTATTGCTATCACCATGATGATGCACACACAATGCTGGAATACTATGAAAAGGATGAAGAACTGAAGCAGCATTTAGGAGACTGTGTACAGTCCTTAAAGTAAGATCTTTTCAAATGATGATTTCCGTCCATAGTCAGTTGCCTGGCAGGGAACATTTTAAATGGATGTAGATGAAAGGTCCCCTGTAAATCCAGAGTTTTATAAGGCTTGCTGGGAGCTCTGGCTTATGCTGTTTTCATGAAAAGATGACAAGCCAGAGGCCATGATTAGATTTCTTTCTCTCTAAGATGGCCAAAAATAGCAAGAGAAAGGTTTCTCTTTCCTTAGTTTCAGTGCCCCATACTGACAAAAAAGAAAATGCTGCATCATATAATGATGGGCTATTGGCAACACCTTTTCCAACTCCCGGGAAACTTGCTGCCCCCTGTCTTCAGCACGTCTGCTCCTTGAATTGGAATAGCCTGTTGTGGAGCTACTCAAGTGCACTGGCAGTTCTGGGCTGCTGCTGCAAGCCCCAGGATCTGGAGCTTCTCTGTAGTTCCCACTCCTCATGATGGGGGTATTTGAGAGGAAACATTGGTGGATCAAGCTGCCAGTTCCCACCAGAGGGAGGTGCTTTGTGCCATTGGTTCCAATGCCAGCCCCTCGGGAAAATGTGTAGAGGACTGGGGATGTTGCCAAATAACAGATCCATCTGTCTTCCAACACAGCTTCCTCCTGCAGCCAGTGGCAAGGACCAGCTCATCCACTCCATGGAGAGCGCTTCTCTTCCCACCCATAAATCCCCTTGCCCCTGTCAGGAGGGAACATGCCACAGATTCAGACCAGAGGTCTGGCTCTAGCTCCGGGAAAGGCCCATGGTGCACACTTGTAGGAGGGATGTAAAGTTACCATAAATAAAGGAGTGTACATCAGCATCAGATATTTCAACCACACCCTAATTTGTGATTGGTCTGTAGAGATCTGTTAAGACTTAGGAGATGGGAAGTATGTCCAAGAGAAATCTGGAAAGAGCGGTGAAGGGAAATATTAATAACATTAAAAGAGAAGTGTTTGCTTTGAAGACAGGTTATGTTGAAAATGAAGCTTATCTTGTGTGACATGTCTGGCTATTAAATATATAGCAAAGTATATGTGCAGGCTTCTGAAGTTTTAGCTACCCTGCAAGCTGAAAGAAATAAATTTTCATATAAACTCAGGCCTTCAGGCTAATGGATGGCCAGGTATTTCCCCTAAGAGGGTGTTTTAGTGCTGATGCCTACAATAATCTTTCCTCACTAATCAAGAGAAGCCACTACTGTTGCTCATTTATCCGTGCTGCTGAGGCAAGGAGACTTGGAAGGAAATAAAGATAAAAAATTACGTCCATGTACATCCTAGGGTGGATGTTGCCACTTAAATTCTAGAACCAGCAAGAAGTGCTCCTTTTCCAAAATCACAGCTGGGCTTTATGAAGAGAAAAGATATTTTGTGCTGAGCCACTGTAGCCTTTGCGAGCAGGAAGTGACAAGGACTTCCTTACAATGAAGCCTTGTTTTGTCTTATTCTTTCCTGATTAGCCTTTAAACAGGAACCAATGATAAAAGCACTGGTGTGTGTATATCATGTTGTGACTTTTCCCAGTGCCTAAAGATTGCAGTCAATTCAACTATTAGAACATTAAAGTGCATGCTGAGATTCAGAACTGTGGTCATCTAAAACTGTTACTACCTATTGGAGAATATTTGCCTTAGGAAGAAAACTATGCAGGATTGTTACCAAATAAGTTATAGGCTGTTTTCCATTGTGAGACATAACAAATGGGGGGACTGGTGCTAACTATCTTTGAAAACTGTTTACTTGTTAAGCATTTTTCTTTTCCTTTGGAAAGAATATTGTTCCACTTAAAAAAATCTTAAATGAGCTGACATTAGTAGGGGCTTCTGTTTCTCTGCCGAGTAATATCTGACATGTAAAAAACAAGTTCTATATCAGGAGCAATTTGAGAGTGGCACTCTGCACATCTGTACAGACAAATCAGATTTAATTAGCTATGTTGAGGTTCCTATTCCTTTTGACTGAAGAGGAAAAAATGCATCCCAAAATGTCAGTGCCTGCATTGGAGACGTGCAAATCCAATTTCCGTAGAGTCCCGTGTTTCAGCAGCAATTATGCAAACTGGGGATATTGTTTGCTAGCCTAGCCAAAGAAATGCAGCTGGTAAAAATGAAAGGATGCTGGCAACTACCTGCTCAGCTTTCAGCCTGAAGTAGCTCGGTCAACTATTACAGGGACAGAGGGACGTGCTAAGCACACAAAATGCTGACAGTGCAGAAGCAATGAAAGCAGCAGCTTCCAGATGCTTAACTAGGCACTGGTGGGCCAGGAGATAAGAGTGCAGGCAATCAAAAAAGTGTGGCTGAGGATGTGATGTCAGGAAAGCATGATGCAGAGATGGAGAAATTGAGTGAATTCATACCATAAGAAAATATTCTATACACATGCTTGCAAACTATAATTTTAAGTCCCTGATGCTTTCAGTGTATGTATCAACACCATCCAACTCCAGAGAGGTTTCAGTTGATGTGTAATCTACAAAAAACTTCACAGCTTCATTGACTCCACACTCTAAAAGGCTGAAATGTATTATTTTTCTTTTAAAAATACATTCCTGTTTAAAGACAGTAGAGAGAAATGTATGTATGGCTTAATGTTACCTACAATTGTTAGCAGAATGATCCAAACTTCCTTCTCTAACAATATGAGGACAAGGTTGGGTCTCACAGCCAAAGCCAGGTTTCTGACAGTCCTTTCTCATTTGGGGCTGTTCATTCAAAAAGTTGTAGGGTCAGATTCACCAGTACCCTCTGGCTGTTTTGTGCAGTTCTGCTGACACATAGCAGCCGTAAACCTAAGTTAACCAGCCAGTCACAGCTTGTCTGTGTCACTGAAGTGTATCTGAGAATCTCCTGATCTGTATAAATCCTTTTAGGAGGAATCTAATGCATGTTTTGTTTTCTTCTCTTTTGCAGAAAGAGATACGAAGAAGAGTAAGTACTATGCCTTTTTTTTTCATGTAAAATAATCTTTAAAGTACCTTTAATTTATCTTTAGTATGTTTAAAGCTGTACGGGTGGAAATTTTAAGAACACAAGCCTTTTGTGTCAGTATAACCTGGGGAATTTTTCAGGATATATGCAGAATGCTCTGAGGTTTGCAGAAGTGTTTGTCAGCAGCATAGTGTCAGTCTTCAAAATCCATTTTCCTGCTACAATTCAGGCAAGCCTTCAGGTAAAGGTATTTCTAAGCTGATAACCCCTTCAGTAGCCCTGTATGAGAAGCCCACCTTATGATCTTCCCCTGACAGTGGCTGGAAGAACATCAGAAAAGAACAAGCTCATTGCAACTTGGCCAGAAAACTCCCCCAGCCACTGATGAATTGTGGTTAAGGGACTTCTGTGCCAAATGTGACATCTTTGAAAAGCTATAAGGGAGAATTTATCACAGCTGCAGTTTCTGGACATCCAGCATGTTGGGTTCATTGAAATGCAGCACTGCCAGTAGTTACCTGCAGTGAGGGGTCAGAGGAGGAGTTGTCTGAACTGAAGAGAAAGATTACAACCCCAGACAAAACGTTAGGACAAAGGAGGAGCAAGTGTGGTCTATACTGACAGGAGAGGAACAGCAGACCTCTATAGTCAGAAAATTTGTTAATCAGTCAGTCAAGTGCATGTTATAACTATGATCTGCATAAAATACACTTTGAAAGACTTGCATGTTGAAACTTTACTTTTAGGGGTTTCAAGTTGTTGTCTGTGATAGGAAATAGTTTTTCTGCATTTTGTTTTCATAAGGAATATTCCTGTGTACTCCTGTCCCACAAGGAGTGGGACTCCAAGAGATACAAAATACCCAGAGGGTCACATATGGTCCTGTGAGACACCAATACATCTGGAAATCACAAGACTTGTGTGTTCTGCCTTGTACAACCCTAATAGATATGAATGTCTGGTTTTCTCCTTCAGTTTCCAGTGTATTGTGGAAGACAACTCACTTTCTGAGTTTAAAAGGACTCTTACAAAGCTGTGTGGAGTGCAATGAGCAGGTTTAGCTGTGGGACCCTCCCTGAGCTTGGCTACCTTACTGGCAGGGCACACAAGGAGTCCCATCACCTGCAAATCAGAGGTTGCAGAGTTGCAACAGCTCTTGGGCAGGACAGCACCCAAAAATCTGATTACTGTTGAACTGGAAAATGCAGCATAACTCCCTCCAAATGCTTTGTGATGTTGCTGCTCCCAGATTGCTTTTCATTCAAGCACGATCAAGAAAACAATTACATAAATACCAGACAGTGCTGCCCTTTGCTAGGAGCTCAATAGGTTAAATTCTGCTTGGCTTAACAACTGTGCAGCCTCAGTGAATTCCCTGGGTTTGCTTGAGAGACTTATGGTGTAGTGAATTATTTGCCCTACACGCCTTGTACTAAAATAAAGCCATGCATAGTAGACCATGAAGCCCAAGATTCTGAATTCTGCTGCAGCTGATTGCTGATTTCAGAACTGGCAGCTGCATATCACAGCCTCAGCCCGGCTGTACCATACTGGCTGTCGTGTTTGCCACTGGACTGAGCTGCCTTGTAGTGAGAGCAAAAAAAGGTGAAACTAAATCCTGCCTCACCTGCCTTTGCCCCACCACTACGGGCTTTTTAAACAAGTAGGAATGTGTCTGTATTAATGACTGTTTTGTCGGGAGGCAGGAGGAGGCTGTGGCATGAAGCTCACTGCAGTTTGCCAGCTGCATTTACTGCAGCGCTATGGTAATAATTTGCTGTGAGATTAGTGGGGTTACATGTGCCTTAGAATACTTGCTAAATTCAAAATAGCATGGGGGGAAGGCTGAAGTAGTATCACAAATGAGTTATCAACTTAATTTTCTGCACAATAGATGCCACGAGGCGTTACTCTCCTGCTTGAGTCGTGTGACAAGGCTGTGTCCTGCCCAGGGGCTGGTGGGTCCTAGCAGGGTGCACTGCAAATGGGACTTGTCCAGGGAGAGTGGCTATCTCAGCTAATCTCGCTGGGGAGAATTAGATGAGTCGAACTTTGTGGCATTTAGTGCCCCAGGGAGTCATTATCTTATAACAAACCTGCTATCTCTCACACCATATTGCAAGACTGTGTCATGCAGATACGAACAGAGGGCTGTTTATCACTCGGGCAGCTGTCCAAAGTGCAACTATATAAAGAGAAGACACTTGAAGATTTTTCCATTCATGAGGCAGCTTTTATAGATTTGCATTCATAGGGCTTTTCAGAGAAAACAATAACAATTTCAGATTTTTTTTTCATTATTGCTGCCAGAAGCTGAAAGAAGGAAAAACAGCTCTCTATTTAATGTAAGATACAGGGAAAATGAGGGGGATTGAAATGATGAGAAGGTTTTGGGACATGAAGAAGCCTTAAAAGGCATCTACTGTTAATTTTTTTTCATGCAGAACTTTTTTACAGATAATGCCTGTTTGAGATGTTTTAAATATGCAGATGTCTCTTCTCAAAGGCATTCAAATTGTTAGTTAATTAGTCAGCAAGTAAGGATTGGCTCTTGTGCTTTTTACACATATAAAAGTAGGAATGAAGGTTTTTTTTTCTTTTACGCTTTCTGTTGCACAAAACAATAGATGTCAGCCTGCAATACCGTGTGGCTGTTCCCTATATTTTGTACTTTCCTTCTACATTGTGTTATTTCATCTTTCCATATACAGAAATCCTTCTTTGTCTACCCTTAACTCTTGCATAGTTAATGTCCAGAAAACCTTTCCTGCTCCAAAAGACCCATTTTGGGCATGCAAATGGAAAGCTTGCTCTGCTTTTTTGCCTTCCACCCAGCAGCTGATGTTTAGTTTCAATGGGGAAGTGCCAGGTAGCTGGTGCTGGAGCTGTGCCTGGTTTGCTGAGGGGTGTGCTGGCATGAGGGGAGGCCATGGACATGAGGTCTGTCCTGCTGCTGGAACCTCAGCAGTGGCTGGCCCTGATCTTGGCCACCTGGTGTTACCCATTCTGGGGAGACCTCATGTTTCTGCCAGCCACATGGAAGGTAATGAAGGCACATGTGGTTCAGTCCTTTCCTGGTTCCTTTGAGGCTGGTGTGACAGCCCACAAACTGCACAGCCTCTCCCATTCCAGCCTGGAGAGTGTAAGCAAAGGTTTTTGTCTGGAGCAGGGCTGGAGCATGAGTTCAGCTGGCTGAGGCCCAAGAGCTCAGGAGTCCCTTCATGGCCTGGGCTATTTGAATGCCTGGGGATGCTGCACTTCTGCCCCTGCCCAGCCAGTGGGGATTGAGCCTAGAGCCACAGAGCATCCCTGTGCCCATGCTGGAAGCTGGGACTGTCCTACTCTAATCCTTCTGCCACCCTGGCCAGTTGTCTGCTTTGCCTTTATGTAGAGGAGTCTGCCAGCAGGCTGGATCAAGGCTGTGTGAATATCCTGTGTGTTCAACATTTTCCCAGGCCAGATTTGGTATCCTTTGGAAGCTGAGCCATCCTTAGAAATAACTGACTGGCAGCCAGCAAAGAAAAACCACAAGTGAAAGGCTGTAATGCTTAAGGGTCACTGTGCCAAGTCAGGGATGTTGTGAGAAGGGATGCACTTGTGAACAGGCATCCCAGTTACTCACAGCATGGAGATGTTGCAATTTTAAGCCTGAGGGCCCAGAGCAGGATGTAACAGCTCTGCTCACATGCATTTCTCAAACTTCCTGTTATTTATTCTTCCACCTACATCTCCCTTCCTGGGTGTTGTGATGTGTGAGTTAAACTGAGTGGGACAGTTTCAGAGCTAAAGTCTAAGTAGTAGTCTCCTAAGTTCTAAAAACAGAAAATTCAGAGACCTGGGTGTATTTCACATTGAGGGGGTGACAGGAAGGTTTCATTTACAACACCCCTGTTCCCTCACAGATGTATCTTATTTTTTTACTTGAGTGGCAATTGCAATTCAAGGAATTTTTAATTTTGTGACAATCATTTTGGTGTAAATTACAGAGGAAAGCCAAATCTAATGGACCTGGGATCTCTGTTGATCAAACCAGTGCAACGGCTGATGAAATATCCCTTGTTACTCCATAAGCTCTTGAACTCAACTCCTGCTTCTCACCCTGACTACGAGGCCCTACAAGATGCCCTTTTTGCTATGAAAAACATTAATGTGAACATCAATGAACTTAAAAGGAGGAAAGATTTAGGTAAGAAAAGAGCACAGTAAGTTCTTTCTTTTAGGTTTGTGCTGGTCATTACAAGATGTGTTTCAGCTCCAGATATTTCACTGCATCAACTTTGGCTGGTGCCGCCCAAGTTGGGTAATATATTGAGTTTCAAGAGGGTAACAGTGCCTTAATGTTCCTTGTCCTCAGCCAACTATCTTACCTGACTGGTAGCTCCAGTATGAAAATAGGGAAAGAATTCATGTTATAGTGTCTGTAATGCGGTTGCAAACATTGATAATAATTAAGATGCAGTAATATCAATATTTTTTTTAGACTTGCCAGGTCGAAGGTCTAACTTCACTCTTCCCAAGGTTAGTGTTGATAATGGGGTTTTCATCCTCTTGAGCATTTTCACACAAGATGACAGCAAATTACATCAAAGTGTGTGCTCTCCAATGTTTTCATATTTGTGTGCCTGTCCCTGTGAAAAGTCCTGTGAATACAGACTGTTGATATAATGAAATTCTCTGTCTGCAGTGATGAAGTATAGGAAGAATGATGATGATGAAACCCTTAAAGAAAAGTTTTCCCGACTGAATATTCACTCAATTAGCAAGAAATCCAAGAGGGTCACCAGCCACCTGAAAATACTGACAAGGGGAGAGCCTCAGGTACTTACTCATCCAACTGCAGATTTGCATTGACAGCTTCAGTTCTGCTTTTGCACTGGATGTTTTTCAAAACATGTTGGAAATGGAGTTTGTGGTGGTGCTTTTCTTCCTGCCTAATTTATAAAGTCATTTTCTGACTGTCACAGAAGACAGGGAAGATCTTTGTGATTGAAGTAGAAAATAATATAAAGTGTTCTCCATCTTTTCCTCTTTTACACAAGAGTTTCTCAAACTTCTGGTCTTCAGCAGAGAGGAACTGAGAGGTAATTTTGTGAAACTCAGCCTGAGGTCAGCGTTTTGCAGATACCCTGGCAATAATTATTGTCGGGGCTGAGAACGTGTTCAGTCCATCTTGCTCATGTTGTAGCATTAAGGTTTGGAATCCACCAAGGAAGATGAGCAATACCTCTAATTAGGAAAGGCCACAGGATTTGCCTCTACATGTGAAAAGACCTGGGATCATCAAAACTACAGAGACAAAGAACTCTGTGATGAGTCAGATGGGTGTTGGGCAGCAAAAGTAAAATGCTCCTTCATAATTTCAAAGTTGTAATTCAAAACCTAGCAGGATAAACGTTTTCAGGAAAGCTTAAATCGAAATCTCAAAGAAAATCAATTACAAATGACCTTGAAAGTGATATCCAGCACACCTCACTGCATGAGATGGCTGATCATACAAGGTCGCTTGCCTTTCTAGATGTGGCTTTACAAGATATATGCCATCTTTTCCTGGTTTGTTTTTATCAGTGTTTCCCCTCTTTCTCTGATTCAAACCACCCACATATTTTTTTTCTGTTTATTTACATACACAGTGGAAATTTTTATATTCAGAATATGACAGACACCAGCAAGGCTATAAAATCTGAGAAAAGGGGAATTAAATTTGATTAAAAGGATATATGATTTTTATTTTCTTTTTTTTCTTTAGAAACTTCTGGTTTATGTTTTTTTGGTTTTGTTTCTAATTAAGCTGAAAACATTTGAGGATCATTTAAGTATCAGAATGCATCTGTTGGAGATTCAGCAGTCTCTCCTGCTCAGTTAGACTGAGAAAGTTCCCAGCTCACGTCTTGGAACACGCCGAGACCCTCACGGCAAAACCACTAAGACGTGATTTGAGATTTCTGAAGCCCCTGCAGGAAAAGACGGGCAGGAATGACCGCGTTTTCAGGGCATGAAGAGGTTTCCCGAGGCCATTCCCGGCTGCCGGCGTTTCCAGAGGAGAGGCTGGCAGGGCTCTGGGATAACAGCTCCATCTACAGCCGGCTTGCGGGAGAGCGCCCCAGCCCCGCGGGAGCGGACACGGCTCCGGGATATCCCCCACCACTCCCGAGTATCCCCCACCACTCCTGGAATATCCCCCACCACTCCCGGAGTATCCCCCACCACTCCCGAGTATCCCCCACCACTCCCGAGTATTCCCCCACCACTCCCGGAATATCCCCCACCACTCCGAGCATCCCCCACAGCTCCGGAATATCCACCCCCCTTCTCCTCCATCCTTCCCTCAGGCAGGGCAGCAGCACACTGGAAAACGGAAGCGTTTTGTCGGCACACGCCCGTGGGCTCGTCGTAAAGCTCTCAAAAGGATTAAAAATTAAATTCTCTGCCGTGTTGACCCGCGGTTTTGACTTTTCTTGAATTACACCTGGAGCTTGGGAGAATTAGGGGTTGATCTGTGTTTGAAGGGAGGAGTTCAGGGATTTTTCTGGATGTTTCTTTTATTAATCCAGGCTCTTTTGGGCTGCCAAAATAACAGTGCAAATGTCTCTTTTAGGTGAAAGATCAAACTTTTGATAATGAAGAAAAGTTGTTTCAAAGTCTAGAGAAGACTGTGAAATTGTGTGTGAAGAACATTTCGCTCTGCTCACAACATCTCCAGGTAGGTACAGCCTTTTTGCAATATGTGATCACAAACCCTTTCCATAACCAGTGTGACACACATTTCTGCCACTGGTTGGACAACACCAAATTGTAAATAAGCAGGGCTGTCTACATCAGAATATTAAATAAATAAGCTGCGCTGCTACTGCATTACTGAGCCCATGGCAAAGAAGTTTTGAAGCCTACACTTTTGCATTTTTCCCCTGACAGAAGCAGGTTCTGTGGAGACCCACAGGTGCAGAGAAGAAGGTGCTGTCTGGTGGCACAGTCATGACTTTCAATCATGAAGCTGTCACCCCCCACCTGCTGCAGTGGAGGAACACCTACTTCTCATTAAAAATTGAAGAACTGAGCTGCAGCCACATGAATTAAAACGTCCTAAAACATATATATTCTGGATGGAAGGACTCCTTCCTTTTTCCCGTGTTTAGGTTGTGTTGAGGGCTAGCATTAGATGTACAGAGTGCTCGAGTTCTCTAAAATGTCTTTGCTTCAATCAGAGATGAAGGTTGGCTTGTGATTTATCAATCTTCCCCTCCCATGGACTACTTGCCAGCTTTGTAGATGGTATGAGGCCTGTCAAAGTCTAAGTGTTCCCTAACCAGGCAGGGAGGTTGCTTGAGAGATAGGCAAGGTCAATAACCAGCTGGCCAGGGCTTATCACAAGAAAGGCCAGGGAGCTCAGCCAACGAGGGCTGTTGCCTGGAATGGTGATGACAGCTCCTTATCCAAACACTTCATTAAGATTTAAATTCTGAGTGACTGAAATACACCACTGTAGTCCTACTTAGTCCCCCAAAAGATACTTTTGAGGATGCATGGTAAGCTGGCTTCTTGCTGAGGAGTAGCTGACTTCCAGTGGGATATTCATTAGTTTAGGGCATAGTTCTTTCAGTTGAACATCAACAACTTGATTCTTAAGTAGTTTACATTGAAAATAGAGAAAGCACAGGAAAATATTGTCACAGTAAAAAAAATGTCACAATGACGGGAAACTGCACAGCAGCTGCACAGGTGTCAGAAAATATTTCCGATTCCATCAGTATTTTTGCAGTAGCTGCATGAGTGAATGCAACATATTAAAATGGATTGTATTAGTTTCATCTTCCTACCATCTTTTCATTTAGGATTCTATACATCTGGGTGCCCAGAATATAATTTGCCTTCAGGAAATCCTGCAAGATAAAGATGATGAAGTCAATGACTGTTCGGAAAAACAGACCAACACTGCCAATCTATGTGAAGACTTTGTAAGTCAATGCAATGTCCAGTGTTACACAGCTACCTGTATGTCTGAGAAAACAGCTTTATGTGAGGAAGGCTAGGACAGAAAAGAGGAAAAAAACCAGCTTAGGAATCTCATGGGAAAGATAAGTGGGGGGGTTTTGGTTGAATTTCTGTTAGAACTAAGATAAAATACAATATAAATGCAGTGTGTTGTCCTTAGAAGAACTAAAGAAAACTTGTCAAGCTAAATTCCTGGGTTTATAGTAAAATCTTTGTTTTAAATTTTTATCACCTGAACAATCCTGTATTTGTTTCACCTGAACTTCAGAAAAGAGCAGCAGATTGTTGCCTTGCTACTTTTCTTACCAGCACTTGCAGTTTGAGTGACTTTTGTGATTGATACTGTGCTTATATACTGTTAGCTTATGTACTGTACAGCTCACAGATCTGTAAAAATCTTGGATTTATTAGCTGGGAAAAGGCATCTCAGATCATCAAGTCCAGATATTAGGATAGTGCTGTCAAATCCTTCATATAGGGAAACCAGGAAAAGTCCAAATATAGCCCATAGTAATTAATAAAGAAATTTAAAAAACAGTTTTTCAACTAGTCTTCTGCTTCTAGAATTAAAATGAAGTGTAATGCCTGGCTCTCATAAGATATTTAAATGTCTCTTCAAAATGGGACAGGCTGCTTCTTCAAACAGCTGCTCAGGCTGGAAAAATTCAGAGGTGGAGGTTTTCTCACACTTACCTAGTTTAGTGCTGACTCAAATATAGCCCTTCAGTCTTTTCTAAAACACTGAAAGCAGAGTCTGCCAAGAAACAGAAGGCTCTTTGGCAGACTACAACCTCCAGGATAATGACAGGGAAGTAAGATAAAGTATTTATTTTCCTTTGAAATTCTCACATGTGAAAAGGATCTAAAAAAATAATCTCAGTAATCAGAACGATATTTTCAATGTCTTCACAGTGAATGATTGCATAAAGTGCAAAATAACACCTCCCTATCATTGCAGTGGTGAGTGTCCAATATGGAAGCTACCCCCATATTCAGAAACATAAAAGAAAAGTAGAAGTAATTCCACAATATATGAAACAGAAAACTTCCTTTTAGAAATAAAATTTTAACAGCTACTGTTTCATGACCTAGCTACTCTGAAGGTCTGTGTAATTAAAAAAACAACCAACCAACCAACCAACAACTTAATTTTATTTTATTTATTTTAACCGTGGACATTTTAATTAACAATTGCTAATTTATACTTAATATCTGTTTATTTTTGTGGCTTGGATGTACAAGACTACAAGGATTCCCTATCCTATGCATATGGGTTTTTTAAAACATCCTTGGCTTGACATTGCACGATGAGTAGATGTTCTCACTGAACAACCCATAGTGTTCCTCACATGTTTTCCTGAAAGGTTATTATCAAGGGAAATCTCAGCAGTGGGCTCAGGTTAATAGTTTGAGGTTTTTTTCCCCTTTGTGCATTTGTCAATAATGTATACCTTCCTCTCTCATTAGATTTTTTGGAGAATTTTTAAGGCAGAAATTCCCAGTAGCCTCTTTTTCAGAAATCAGGTCCAGCAGTTTGGAAGAATTGTTTTCTTAATGCATTGAAAATCAATTCCACTAAACACAGCCCAGTTTTTCAGGTAGAAATAAAATAGGAGCTATTTAGCCAGTGTACAGCATCTTGGCCTTGGAAAGCAACTCTGGGGCTAAAATGGACCTGTCCTCAACTCTGTTATGTTTTCGGGAATGCAGAGGCAGCTGCTTTTTTATTCTCACATCCAACCCAACAACTTAATTCACGCAGAATGTCCAAGAACTTTAATATGATGATGAATTTCACTCACTACAAGCCTGTGCTGTATTTGAACAAATGACTTACAAAAATAAATTTTATTTCATGCAATATTAATCCCTTGAGACAATTAGAGACTAATGGAAAAGTCTGAGGAAGACTGGTTTTTTACCAGGTGTCTAATTTTGTTGATTACCAGAGATAAAACCAACAAGCATAACCTAATTTAATCAAATCAAGTGATTGTTTGTGTTTGTTTAAACAGGAATTGAGTTACAGCTGTTTCCAGGAGAGGAAAAAAAAAAGAAAAAGAAAAGCAGATTTGAGAGAGTTCAAGGCTGCCACTTAATAAGACCTCATTGGCTTTAGACTGTATATTGGTGTGAGCCTTCCACCTAAGGAAACTCCAGTTTTACTTGACCACTTGACTAGTCCTTGCTGTTTTCTCCAGTGGCAGCTCCCTAGGGGCAGTACCTGAGGCTGCACATAAGCTTCAAAACTTATACCTCTCCCGTTATGGAGGAGATTCTAAGTCATGCTGGACCCTGCTTGAAACTGCCTCTGGCAGCAATGCTTTGTGAAGAGTGATTAACTGCTTGATGGGCTGCCATCAGGCTCAGCCCCTTATGGCATCTGAAGGACTGTGTGAATAAGGTAATGAGTAGGTCTGGTTTATACTTTCCAGATGGCTCAGCTGGACAAGCTTGTCTTGACTCCTCTCTCAGCACTGCAAGCCCTGTTTCCAGGCCCTCAGAAGCTCATCCAGAAGCGCTATGACAAGCTGTTGGACTACAACAGCTGCCTTCAGAGGTCAGCTGGAGAACTGGACCTCGCAAAGAAAGACTATGAGGCTCTAAATGCACAGCTAGTGGAAGAACTTCAGGTATTCAACAGAGAAGCCAAAGAGATTGTATTGAACTGTCTACATTGCTTCATCACCCTCCTCAAGAATATTACATTTGCAGCACTTCAGTCAAACTCTGCTGTCATGGTGCCTGTTCCTGTAAGTACATTAGAAACAGGTGTAGCTCAGCCTTAATTTGCCTTTTTTTCTTTCTGTATGCTTTGGGTAAAATTATATAGGACACATATCTGCAAAGCTACACTGATTTACTGATTTTGTGATTTTGTTTGTTCTGCTGAGCACAATCAGATTTGGTTTTTTTCCCTTTGCAAGATCAGTCAAGATTGAACTCATAGAATCAAAATGGTTTGGTTGGAAGGGACCTTAAAGACCATCTAGTTCAAATTCCCCTATTCCTCTGCCATTAACAGGGACACCTTCCGCTAGACCAGATTGCTTAAAGCTTCATCCATCCTGACCTTTATAGCTTCCAGGAATAAGGAACCCACAGCTTCCTTGCAGAAGCCGTTTCAGTGCCTCAGCAGGGTCACAGTAAACTAATGTAAATCTGTCTTCTTTCAATTTAAAGCCATTCCCCCTTGTCCTGTCACTACATGCCCTTATAAAATGTCCCTCTCCAGCTTTCCTGTAGGCCCCCTTCAGATAATGAAGGCCACAGTAAGGTTACTCTGGAGTGAGTTTTGAGAAACGTGTGTTCTGAACTTTTGTCAGACCTGGGCTTTTCATCGAGTATGATCCTAATGGAACTGTTCCCACTGTTGCAGTAGTAATGGCAAGAATATTACAGGAAAGCAAAAAGAAAGCAGTTGCTAGCATTTCTTAGCATGTACCCTGACAAGCCCAGAAAACACAGGAAAGTATAAGAAAGTACATGAACACCTCCTTTGCTGCTAGACCTGCAGATTCACAGATGACTGCAAAAGAAAAACAAGTTAGGAGATCCAATTAAATAAATTTTATGAAAATCAAGTTGCTTTAAAACCCAAATATGATTCAGAAACTCCTGCAGATATCTATTGGCAGTAATGAATAGCCTTGCCTGGAGGACTTGAACCCCCTGAGAAACATGTCTGCAACAATGCCTTCCACACATACAAATCCACTCACCCAAACAGAAGCAAGGCTGCTTGGGAAACACACTCTATCTAGTAAGGCAATTCTGGAGTATTCCTTTCCATCAAGGCTGGAACAGAGCACATTATAGTAAGGGGCAGCTGAAAAATTAAGCAATTAAACAAGGTCAGGATCAAAACATAGAACTATGGTGTTTAACGAAGGCTCTTTCTGCATGAAGAAATTTCATCCCTGCAATTTGATGTTTTCATGTCTTGAAAGCTGTTGTATTGGGCATTGTTTTTTCTGGAGGGTCTGGCTACAAAATTACCTTCTTTTTCTTTTTTTCCTGTTTACATCAGCAAATGCATTTGGTATTAGGCATAGACGAAAAGCACTTATCCAGTGCCACAGACAGAGACTTAGTTACCCAACAATTTTTCACCTGTTGGCAGCTCTCAGTTGCACAAATACACAGCTGTGGAGTAAACTACTCCAAGCCTTGCAGCACATTGGCCACTCTGATAGCTGCTGAGATGCCCATTTGCATGTGAAAGCAGGTGGCTCAGTAGCATAAATGCAAGGCTCTTAATTTTCATCACCATTTAGAATATTTTTAATGATTTAACTTCAGTTGCTATGTCTTTTAACTGTAATATCCTCTATTAGAAACTTTCTTTAAGCAAAGACCTTTCTTCTCCTTGCATCTTGTATGTAGAGTGTACTGCTTATGGGCTCTGCAGAAAATGGGCATAACTTGTCAGGTTTCCTGACTCCTAGCATTCAGTCAATTAAATTGAATCTGCTCTCTCTCCAATTTCCCTACCATTTTGTACATGAGATCTAACCCACATTTGTGTTTGCAGCTGTCCTCCTCAAGCATCTGTGAAGTGCAGAATCAATTGATAGAGGAGGTTCACAAACTGAATTTTGTAAAAGAAAACAGTAGTGTAACCTTTATTGAGAGAAAATTGAGCTTGGAAAAAAAGAAACCTGTTCCTTCTCCGGTGAGTACCATACATCCAAATTGTGTATGAAGCATCCTCTTTCAATCACTTTTGGAACAAATCCATTTTTATGTTACCTAAAAGTTTGGGCTTTGTCTCTTCACTGTGACTCTGAATCAAGTTGTTGGAGTGAAGTTTTCATTGACCAGTAACTTCTGAAGATTTTTCACATTTTTTCATGTTAATATCTTGAAAATCCACTTCAAATTACCTCTGACTGCCCTTAGGCTTTTAAGCACATTAGGTAAGGCTAAGGTATATGTAAACTTTGGTAACTTCTTTTGTTAAATACTTATAGTGCACCTTAGTTTTCTAATTCAGAAGATTTATTTTCCTTGTGTTCAGCTGTGGTTATGTGTACTGGTGTTTACACATATATGGACAAACATACACCCTCACAGCAGAAGATTCAGAAAATCCACCGGGAAATCTGTGTTTCCAATCTTATCAGATGTCTCTGAAGGTTTTAGGAGTTTAGTTTACAGTAAAATAAGGACTTGGGGGTAGGTTTACAGGAGAAGCTGGGGCAATTGTAGAATTCCTTTCAGCATCAGTGAAGGCACAGGTGCTCTTGCTTCTGTGGTCTGTTAAGATCCCACTGATGTGCAGCACCCGCCTCCCTGCCCTCTAACCAAACCCTGAAATGAATATACGCCCAGCAGTTAAATGAGGGCCCTTACCCTCATTTAGAGAGGTAATTTCACAGAAAAAGCTGCCAGTTTCGGTACCACTGGGTTTTTTTTGCCTAATGCCTTATCGTGCAAGTTGTTATGTGGCATTAGCACGCCTCAGCCCATTTTTGGATTATGCTTTTTTGTGATATTACATAGGAATACCTTTGTATGGCTACTGAAAAGCAATTAAGCAGGAGACAGTTCATATAAAGAACACCACCTCTCTGAGAGCAGAGGACAGACTAAGAGGTCTTTAATTAGTGAAATTCCTACATTTCTTTAAAATCTGACCTTTATTGCTCACCTGTTAATATAGCAGTGGTACAGGTTCTTGCTGCATATGCAGAGGAGATTTGGTCCCCGTGTAAGTAACTCCTTGGTCTGTGTGTAAAAGCACCGGGTCAGTTGCCACATGCAGCAGATACAGATACACGTACACAGATTTTAATCTGGAAATGGCCCCAGCATTAGTGAGGAGGAATATCACTTGTTTGTTTTCAGCTGGAGTCCCCACACCAAACAGAGGATGACAGGGCCAAGCTGTTGTCCACGTACAGCACCGAGTCGCTGTACCAGGCTAAGCGCAAGTGCAACGCCGCGCAGGAATTCGACATTGACTTGCATGAAGGAGAGCTGGTGGCTGTTGTGGAACAAAAGGACCCCTTTGGAAGCACAAGCAGATGGCTTGTTGACACAGGAAGTAAGTTCTCTGTGCAAATATCCCAATAACAGCTTCCCTTTGGGATATTAATTTCTTTTAATTCTGGCCCAATCTGTTTGCCTCTGTCATGCTGACAGCTGCATAAAATGGTTGGTTTTGAAATTATTTTAGCAGTATTTCCTGTTTATTTATTTTCTGTCTCTTTATTCTGGTTTCTAGTCCTCACAGGGTATGTGTACTCCTCCTTCCTGAGGCCTTACAATCCAGCCAAAGCGCAGAAGGCTGTAGCAGAAAATGGCTTTGGTGATGATGATTTTGATGACATCAGCCTCTTTGTCTCTTCACGGCCCCCTACTGACAGCAGCACCAAAAGTCCAGGGTACAAGAACAGTGACAGCAGCTCACCTTTTCCTTTCTGTGAAAATCCTGCAATTAATTGCACGGGGACTGGTGCTCTTCAGGGTATGGATGATCAGCATGTAAGTATGATACACACTGTGCCTGACTTCTTGTTGTTCCTATTTAAAGTCTAAAATTACACTGTTAGTAATTTAAATGGTTTCCTTTCACATCAGAGAAGAGTGGCACTAATCTGTCAGTGTTACATAAGAATTCATTATTCTCTGTTCTTAAATAGCTGTGAGCTAGGAAAAGAGCATCAGTCAAACAGTGAATTGCATTCCTGTGTCACAGAAAACACACTTGCACACATGCCCACCCCACGTATACCTCAAGTTTCTCATATGGAGCAGGAACTTGTAAAGTACCTCAGTTTCAGGGATTTTTCAACTTACTGTTGACAAGAAAGCTGATCAGCAAGGCACAGAAGTGACCCATGTGCCACATTTGAGTTCAGGTTCTCTAAGAAAGGTGATTGTCCACCAGGAAGCCTTGCTGAAAAATTCTTCTTCCATTCTATGGAACTTGAGCTGAAAATCTTACTAGTACTGTAAGGTGATGAGGCCTTGGAGCTTGGTTTGTTTGTTATGTGGAACTCCCCAGATGCTTCAATTTTGCTTTATATTTTGACCCTGTCTATAAATTGCAGGCCATGTAGTTGAACGTTGGTTTGTACATGTTATTGCTTGTTTTCTGTATAGGGAACTCCTACTGATACACAGCTACATAGTAACATGTGGCTATGCTTTTTAGTTCTGATTTTTGTTTATGTGGCTTTCTTTTTTCAGATCTTCTATGCTGTTTATGCATTTCAAGCTAGAAGTGATCAAGAACTCAGCCTTCAGGAGTACCAGAGGGTGAGGATACTTCGCTTTTCCGACCTGAGTGGCAATAAGGAATGGTGGCTAGCTGAAGCAAAAGGTCAGAAGGGATATGTACCATCTAATTATCTAGGGAAGATGACATATGCTTAGGAGGGGAAGGGCCTGTTGAGCCAGATTCTCTGAAGCAGACGGAATAATCATCTGTTAGGTTTGCTTGCAAGCAAAGCAAGTCACAAGTGATGACAGAAGCAATGGTATCCAGCACTCAAATGATACTGAGAACCTCCATTCTCCAAAAGCGATCACCTTGTCAAGACCTGAGGGAGGAAACATTTAACAGGAAGACTGATTCTGATTAACATGCTGAAGAGCTTGCTTTTCTATTACCCCATAATTTTCTCTTTTGCGAAAGCGTCATACATCAAGACTCAACCTACAAATACAAATCACAGATGAAATTACATTTTTCTTCCATGATATTTAGCAAATAATATTCAAGACAAAGAGAATTGGCCTTGAAAAAGGACAAATTCAGTCATCAGGGATACTGTAGGCTGAGTTGTTCCTGAACTGTTTTCTCAGTGAACACAGTCACATCTTAAAACGAGCTTTTTTGATTGTCTGCTTTTATCCTCAGCTGCTTTTGTGAAGAACCTTTTTTCTCAATGGAGATTATTGGATTGGGAAAAGAAAAAGGGACTCATTTTTAAGGAAACATTTCAACTTAAAACATACCAGGTGTGGTGGTACCAGTGACTAGTCCTAGGGAAGAAAGTATGTGTAGTTAAATATGGAAATGCAGGAAGGAAAAGAGGGGACACTAGAACCAGGTACTGTGACATAAAGGAGTTATAATTTTCAAATTAATTACACAACTGCTTCATATGGCAGAAACAGTTTGTAGCAATATGGAAGTGCCCCAGGTTTGAAATCCACATATGTCTCCACACTAACTGCTTTAGTGCAAGATCTGTATAGTGAAATGAAACCTGTGTTATTAGTCTTGGGAAATTTACTGGTTAAAAAAAAGAATAAAAGGAAAAAAAGAAGAATGTCAAGTGGTGCCTTTCAATGACTATTTAGTGCCTCTCTTATTCCCTAAGTCAGATGCAGGGATCATAATATGTAGTGAATAAGTTTCTTTAGGTGCACTTACTGATGTGATTCCTAGGTCAGGCTGGTACCCTGCACTTAAGATAGATTGAATGGTCGCAGCAAACAGAAAACACCCCCTGGTGATTCTCACTGGTATCTAAGTGCTTGTCACAAGGTATTTCACCACAGCAATGCTGAGGTCCTCTAGTGATTAACGAAGACCTGGTGCAAAGTACTGCAAAGTACTGCAAGTACTGCCTGCTGCAAATAGTGTAATTGAAAGTCAACTCCTGTCAGGTATTTTCTGTATTGCATAATTGCTTGTACTGATGACTAAAATGACAAGACTGTTAAAATCAAGGGTGGGGGGCAGGTAGTGTTGCTGATCGAGAGTATAAGGAAATTGTTTTGAAGGTTTTGTCTTGAGTTTCTAGTTCCCATAGTTTGAAGAGTGGGGTTTGAAGATGAAATGGTTCAAAATGCTTACTGAGATGTAATAGAAAATAACCTGTCAGCAAAGAAAGGCTGAGAAAAATTAGGGCAGTTGCTACACACAATAGTTTCTTCCATGCTAATGAACCTGGTTTCAGTTTCTTTAATGTCCTTAATTTTCAGATTATTTTCATAGAAGGGTAGAAAAAGCTGTCATTCGTGCTCAGAGACTGAATGCAGGAGATCACAGAGATTAAACCTGAAATTTGTGCTGGATTAAATCATATGACAGAGAAACTTTTAGAGTTCTCAGAGATAGATATCCAGAATCTGGTGTGGGAATCTCTGTGAACTACTGCTATCCAGTGAGCATTATTTTGCCTTATTGTACAGCACCTCAGGCACTTATATCTTGCTGTCCCCATAGCAAGCAAAAAGGGTTCCCAATCATGTTATGAATGGATTTAGCTGCTTTTAGGAAAGCTTCACCTTTAGTTAAATGAGGAAAATAAAGTCCAGAGGGAGTATCAGCTTGGAAGAAAGGGCTGAAATACTCACCCCTACCCTTTTAACTGCTTTGGCTTTTATATTTTGAGATTATGGGGAAGATACAGAAAAGAAGGTTTTCAGCTCTGTCTCACAATTTAGAATATTTTATTTGGAGATGATCTATACTTTGCAATGGTTGAAACAGTTTTAGAAATGACTGAATTGTACTTAATAGGCTTAATGCAGTCATGTAAGCACAATGATGAAGTTTTGTATTTCAGACAGGGAAATTAATTAAGGGAAAGAGTCAGGAAAAAAGATTTCTGATGTCTTAGTGTTGAGAGCTCAGTTTGAGTCACAGGGAGAGCTCTGATTTTGAGTGTTAGGTACATTCCTAATGAAAAATCAAACTCTATGAAGGTGTCTCAAAGTGTACTCGAATGCTGCTCTCCAAAATATTTGCTAGGTATCCTGATCCAGAAGCAATAAGGAAGGAAGGATGAATATACTGGAGTTGACCACCTAAATTTCATTGAATCTCTGGGGGACCAGGGAACTCCTAGTAGGCCAAATGAAAATCCCAGTGTAGGATTAGGACCCATAGTAATTTTTATATTGTGGGATAATTGTATGACTTTATTATAGTCTCATAACTTGGGATCCAGTAAAAGTATGTAATTAGGTACCCAGGTGGACTGGCTTACTCCATTTCAGAAATTCAAATTTAGCCATTATCATTTGATATTATGAATATATCACAAACTTTTACTTTTGTTTAAAACAGATGAATGCAAACAGCAATTGCAGAAAATTAAGAGATGCTCCTCGAATCTAAAGCCTTCCAAAATAAAGAGATTTACAACAATTCATACAAGACTTGCTCAGTCACATTTTTGTTAAGACATTGCTTTAAATACTAGAAACTGAGTTGTGTTAGGGCTCTAGAAATTTCTAAGAATATGCAATGGTTTTGCCACTGGATTTTTTTAAGGTAGGGAAGGTTACAGTATTCTAAGAGCTTTCTTATTCTCATTAATGACAAAACTGATTTACTTTGATCGAAGCAGGGATTGGCTGCAGTTTACTGGATTGATCTTGCATTTGTTCAAATGTGTGTTTTAATTAAGCTGTTGCAATAATAAATATGTACAAGTACTCCAAGATTAGGACCACTCAAACTGAAGTGCTTCTCCATTGAGGGAATATTTTTACGTGTTGCCATTAATAACCTGGAACCCAGAAAATGTCCAAGTCAGTACATAGCACAATCCTAGTCTCTGACCTCTGACACCTCTGTGCTTCACCATCTTCCCTTTGGCTGGATGGTGCTTGTGATCTTTGAGCAGAGGTTCAGCTTTTCAATGCAAACACAGATTGAAGAATTATTCCTTCTGACTTTTCATCTTTGGAAGCTTCACTGAGTAATTACCTCCTTCAAACACTGAAGTATACTTTTGTTGTCATTTTAAGATAGCTTTAAAAATGAAGATAGATGAAGTGGACCTGCCACCTGCAGTAGGAAACACAGCCATGATAATCCTTGTTCCCATAGATCTGTTACTGATAATTCCTATTACAATATTGTTTGTTCAGAAATAGTAAAAAAACCAAATCTTCTTTTAAATTATTGTAATAATAAAAATCTATTTTTGTAAAGATGTTTCTTCTTATTTTTTAAACATGATAATTTCCAGAAGTAAAGAGCTTTATATGCTACCTAAGATCTGCCTGCAAAGTTAGCAGAGGAAATAGTTGCTTCAGATAAAATGCTGCATTTCCAGGATGCATGCTAGCTTATTGATCAATACATTCGAACTTTTCAAGCACTATCAAAAATACTAAGTAAATTTAAAAATACACTTCAACGTTCCAGATGTCAGCATAGCTCTGTTCTTTTTCAGCTGCTCCCGAGACTCTGACCATTATGAGCTGTAGTAGATAAAAGTTTGTAAATCACAGAGCCTTGTATTAGACCTTTCCTTTTAGACTCAGGTATCATCAGCATTCCCCAGTCCAGCCAGAAGGAGCACTCATGGAACCACAGTAACCTATCATTTCACATTACTGAGGGTATCAGAAGTTGGGCATCTATGAAAAAAGCATCATATTTAAGTAGAAGTAAAATACTACCACACCAATTTCTAAAACATTTAAGAGAAGTCAGGTAGCAATTTTTATAGTAAATCACAGAGAAATTTGGTTTGGGGATAAAAGAATCATAGGGCTATTTTCCAGTTATTTTTACTAAATAGGAGGCATGCTTCTCAAATTTCAGATGGGCACTCCTTCTTCCTGCCCTACACCACATTTCTCAACCTGACAGACGACTTCAGTCAAGCAAGCCTGTAGAACAGACTGCTTTTCTGAAAATACAGTTGTTAATTCCATCCTAGCTATAACATCAAAAGCAGAAAGCAACTGTTATCTTCAATCTTCTTGATTTTACAGCAGTGCCTATCTAACATAGTCAAGCTAAACACTTGATTTAAAAGACCTGGTCTGTGCTATAAATCCTTTCTGATATAATACTTCAAAGAATCACAATCCTAACTGACATTTTTATACCAACAGAAGAAGACTTTGTATTTCATTTAGGCAGCTGGGAAAGTTACAGTGGAAGAAAGTCTTTTGCTGATGCAAACTACACCTGTATTGCAGATTTTGCTAATGCAATGCTATCGATGAGTGCAGCCAGACTTGGCCTTATTAGAGGCAAAAAAGAGGCACGCACAAAAAGGCACAGCATCACTTATTTCATGCTGAATGGAGGGATCCTACAGTCAATCCAGGCCAGAGTTATACATGCAAAGACATCAGGGCACACTTAAATCAGGTCTCAGGAGTACTCTAAATGGCAGTAGCTACCACAATTTAAAAACAAGGATCATTCTTTTTCTGCCTGCGTTCACCCCATTGGTGGTACCTAAAGTAATCAGCACAGTGGAGATGGAAGCTCCTGCACTCTCACAGGCAAAGCTGTATGTCTGTTCAGAGGCAAGATGGAGGCAGCTAGCACCTTGAACACTCCTCTGGGAGCAGGTTTTACTACTGGAATGAAAACCTCATATAGGAGCACTCGGCCAGTTAAAGAACCTATCTTCACACTACTTCTTAGTGTAGGCAAGTCTTCTGATTAACACTTAGGAAGAAAATATGCCTTCTGTTTGCAAATGGAAAGTAGTTCAGTGTCTTTTCCTACTATGCTACCATTAAAAACCCTCTGTGCTAGAAAGGAAGAAGGATGGGCTGATCAAAAAGCAGTGGAAGTTCTGGATTCCTCCTCCTCATGCTGTTATTTTTTACACAGCTGTGGAAGCTGCAGGCACTGCAAAGATAAAACCTTTATTTTTTTTTCCCACCACAGGAAATAATAGCTGAAAAAATATGCAAATTTTCCTGGCAGTTGAGGCAATCCTGAGTAAATGAAACTATTCCTTTGGCTGTTTAAGGAACTTTAGCCTAAATCTTAATTGTGGAGAAACAAAATGAGGTATGGGAAACAGCTGCCACGTATTAAGCTTTACACACACTTAAAATACAGGATGGCAAAGAAAAAGAGTAGCTCTCACCTACCTGTGCCAGTCCGTGTGGTAGGTTGACCATGGAGAGATGTCAGGTGCCCATCCCAGCTGCTCTATCACTCACTCCCCTCCTCAGCTAAATAAGATGGAAGGGGCATAGGTCAAGATAAAGGGAGTGAGAGATCACTCACTAATTACCATCATGGGCAAGACTCAGCTTTGGGAAGATTAATGTGACTTACTTCCCATCAAATCAGAGTATGATAAGGAGAAAATAAAACTGGGCATGCAACCCCAATACAGTCCAAGATGTTTTTTCATGTTTAAGATGCTCCCCTCATCACAGAAGGCTTGGAGGGAAATTGCCACTCAAGTCTTTCCAGTGCCCACCATGACCAATTCTAAGATGAACACAACCTGGAGCAGCTGGGATGAAAAGAGGGAGCACAAACTGTGAAGAACAGCTCAGGAGTAAGACTGCAGAGCTAGAGTACCTGATATTTCTCAAATACAGGACGGTTCTCTACATTTTAAGAAAACCTGAAGATAGTTTTGACTCTCTTCTGTTCTTTTTAATTGAAGTTTCTCAATGTATAAAACCAAAGTAGGCCAATTTAGCCAACTGCCAAACCAAAAATCTCAATTTAAATATACTATTGTTGAACAGTTAAATTTTGAAATGAAAATAAAGTATTTTTCCCCTAACAAGCTTTATAATTTGAAGTAATAAACTGCACAATATAAACGGCTTTGAACATGTGAAGCATTGTAAGTAATTGGAATATGGGGCAAAAGAAAAGTGGCAATGACTTCCCCGATTAATAATAATTTTATTATTAACATTTAAGAATGATAGTTTCAGCAAGTTCAATTTATTAAGTATCTACACAAATGTGGGGGTTTTAATATCAAAAAATACCCAACTTTTACAATTTCAAGTTTTGGTGCTTTGAGCTGCAAAACTAGGAGCATGTAATAATGAATTCTTTTAACACATTCAAGTCACAGATTTGCAAAGGCAGAAGGAATACCAGAATTATTAAAGTTTGACCTTCTGTATAACATAGGGTTTGGGCTTCCCTGATTTAACCTCTTTCAGTCCAGTAGCTGGAGTATTTTCTTTAGGAAAAACACTGATGCCGCTATCTCATAGAACACAGCTGACAACATCAGCGAGCAGCCAGACTACTTCTTGAGCTTCTTTTGAGCAGCCTTCTTCTTGACCATCTGTAGCCTTTTCATGGCGTTGAGCTGGGACTCCTGCGAGGTCGGGCCCTTCAGGGACGCTGGCTGGCTGCCGGTGTCGGGCGTGGCTTTGCCGGTGCCGCTGCCCGCAGAGCCGGCGCTGCCGTTCCCGCTGGCCTGGCTGCCGCTGCCGGAGCCGGGGCCGGCGCTGCTGGGGCTGGGCAGCCCGGCCTTGCTCACGTTGTCGCTGCTCACCGAGCGGCTCAGCGTCGTCTTTCCCAGGGTCAGTGGCGGGGGAGGCTTCAGCTGAACCGGGTTGGGGCTGTTGTTGGCAGAAGCTATTTTGGCCCCCAGGCCTGTTTTTGAAGTCGCCAGCCCTGACAAACCCACGGGTTTCTGGCTATTTGAAGAAGCTGCAGGTTTCCCGCTGGTACTCTGTGCTGTCGAGCCCAGTTTGGCAGCTGATGGGTTGGCAGAGGAGGTTTTGGCTGCAAAAGCAGCCCATCCTGTAAGGCCACTCGTTGCTGAAGAGGAAACACTTGTACTGGCAGAGTTCCCCGAAACTGCCGCTGAGGTCTAAAATAAATAAGCATTTTTATTATAGTAGCATCTATTTGTGTAACACATCGCAGCAGGAATACACTGAGCCTCTGTTTCAGTTCTTTTCTCAGGAACACCCAGTGGACAATATTTCATCACTGGTCACCAGAGTTGACAAGAACTAACAAGAACAGGAAAGGATGCCAGGTACAGCCAATTTTAATCTCCCACGCACACAGAAAAAACAATACCTTTTTCCCGCCCGTTACTTCTGTACACTTAGCAGACCACCACACATAAGCAATAAAAGTCCAGATTTGTGACTTATATAAAAGGTGATGGCTTGCTTTCTCTTTTATTCATTTACTGTTGTTACCAGGCATCACTTTTTAACAAGCTGACAGATGCTCAGACAAAAATGACACTGAGCAATTAAGTATTGCATTTATTAGTCTTATTGTCAAAGTAGTCCTAGCTAAACTGTTTTCTTTCTTCTTGGTTCTTAGCAGCTTGTACCACAGATAGAATTAAAAAAAAAAAAAAAAAAAAGTACTATCCTTTTGTCTCTTCCCATTCAGGTACTGAAAAAGACAAACTTTCTGTAAACATGGGTTCCCTTTGCCTGCGAAGCACTGTGCTATCTCGACTGAGTTCCCCCACCTTAAACCCTATAATCCCCAGGCTTCAGGTGAGGAGGACATGTTTATTTACATCAGAGTTACACCAAATGGCAGAGTTAAAACAAAAACTAAACCTCTCTATCCAAGTAATACTCCTTTTATGGTGTACCCAGACAGCTTCTAAACAACAAAGTTGATGGAAGCAATCAGGCCAAAGGTCCAACAGCCTGTTTAGGCACATAAATAACTCTGCTGAGGTGAAAGAAGTAATTCACAAGTAGTATAAGTGCAAGAGCAATACTCATCCTAGTATTTGTGATGGTTTGCATCCAGGCAGAGCAATGGCAAACATAACTTTGAGCACATGAATGATTGCTTTGATTTTGAGTTAAAGCTGTATTTTCCCAAGAAAGGGTCATGCTGTATTAGATTGCTCTGTTAGTATCACATTACTTCAGGTTTATCACCTTTGACCAACTCTTGACAGTACTTTAACTTGGAGAAACAGAAACATAAAGCAACACAGAATCACAAAATGGTTTGGGCAGGAAGGGATCCTCTTGTTTCCTCTTAAAGATCCTCGTTTCAACCCTCCTACCACGAGCAGGGATGCCACCCCCTAGAGCAGATTATATTTAAGAAGCTCCTAAATTAAATCTCACAGAGTCAGCAACACTTTCCCTACAATGAAATCACAGAACCTTCTAGCCTAGAAAAGATCTTAAAGATGATCAAATCCAAGAATCAAATCTAGCACTGTCAAGGCCACTACTGCCACAAGAAAAAGTCCTCGAAGTGTCAAAATACACATAAGTTACTTGACTAGAGAGAGCAAGTAATGCATTTTATACAATTCACAGAGTGGTTCAGGTTGAGGAAACAACTTTAAAGATCATCTAGTTCCAACCCTCCTACCATAGGCAGGAATGCCTTCCACCAGACCAAGTTGCTGAGAACGCCACCCAGCCTGGTCTTGAACACTTCCAGTGTTCAGTGGGGCATCCACATGAGAAGTGAGGTTTTTTCCCCCATTTTTTCAGTGTTCATGCAAACCCACTCTGCTGTGGTACTACTCAGTCAGCCTGGTGTAGGAGATCATTTTCAGTTATGGTTCTTAAGTGAAAAGATTGGTCTAATTGAAAAAACCCTATTATATGTGCAATGAAATAAACTCTTTCTCTGGTAAATTTAAATGACATTACCTTGACTTCTGTTCTCTTGAATGCCAGAAAAGCTGGTGGTGTCTCAGGTTTTAACTTGATTTCTGGTTTCTTGACCAATGGATCCTTCAAAGCTGGTGCAACTGAAACCACTGCAGGAGCTGGTTTTTGAGGTGGTTTTTGTGTCTTCTGAGCCTGTGTAAGTGGTAGGAAAAAAACACCCTGAATTAGTTATGGGCCACATAACGGGGACTGTTTTGACTGTTAACAAAAAGCACGAGCATTTTAAGACTGCAATCTAGCCTTTACAATATCAGGTTTAATGGTCCCTGAGAAATGAGACAATAGGGGATGTGGAGATGTGCCAGGTATGGTACTGGAGACAGGGTCCAGTCAAAAAGCATCCTGAACAGAACTTGCTATATCAGAGTGGAAAGAGTGGCAGTGTTGATGCTTGGAGAGCAGGAAAGCACTGGGCCTTTACAGGAATAAGGCAAAGACAGCTGAACTTGCAGAAGACAAAGACATAGTCCAGCAGTACTGGGATGTAGGCTGAAAGAGCCTGCTAAGAAGTGGCAGGCAAAACAGCAGAATTCATGCCAAAACAAAAAAGGAAAAGTCGTATTGAAGGCAACTGCTCAATGGCTGAATTGCCTACCCTGTGTAGGAACTGACCTCAAGCAAACACTCCTGAGTTCAAAGGCCTGATGATCATCAGAATAATCATGTATTTCAGTCAATGCTGGTACATCCTAGGCCAGGATCTTACTTTGCCTTCTTTCCTTGTTTCTTAGTGGAGCCATTTCAACAGATAACACTTGCTAAGTTATTGCAGAACAGTTTCAAAACACATTTTCTGCTGAATTTTTCTGTATTCTGGGTGTGATTTTAAAACCTCAGAACTAAAGTCACTAATGTTGCATGCACCCAAAGGTGCTGTCTTATGTTTCTTTCTCATAATGAGATGAGTGTGATTCTGGTAGGATACTGTTCAGTCATGCAGATAAATCAAAATAAAGGCTTTTTTTTTTTTTAGTGGTGTGGGGTTTTTTTGGTTTTGTTTTTTATTTTATTTCTTTTTTACTGGAATGTGGTATCCTCAGCTTATTTTTGACCCTGAGAACATTCAACATGTCAGACTGAAATTTGCAGTTCTGTCCTACAGGAAAAGAACCATTCACATCCAAAGCTGAGAAGAAAACTTTTAACTGCAGGGCTATTACTAAAAGCTGAGTATCACTTGAAATTAAAAAAAAAAAAAAAAAAAAAAAAAGGTTTTAACTTCTGCTTGCGGAGCAGAAAACAATCCTATTTCACTATTCTTCACTCACCTTCTGATTAAAAAAAAAACTTTAAGAAGTGCATTACAGAATACTCTTTGAGATGCTTCATTAAAAAGCACAGCTGCAGCAAGGGAAGCACTGCAGAGAAAAATGGTTCTCCAACATGTTTCCTAAGACTTGTTTAACCCAGGAAATATTCTCACACAGTAGAAATAGCCTGCTGTATTCTAACAGTGCTCACATGAGACAAAAAACTGACTCCTACCATTCTCTTCATCTGCCTGGTACAGCGGGCACAATACCAGACAAGTCGAGGATCATTCACTTCCTTGTCTGTCACCTGAGGTTTATGGCAATCCTGGTGGTAGAGATTATGGCACTCCTGACACTCCACTAGCTGATTCACAAAAGTAACTGTCATTTGCCTGCAGAGCAAATAGTTAAGAACAGATTATGGGAGAAAGCACTTAGAGGATCATCCAATTGTTGAAAATTTTGCAAGGCTTAAGATAAAAAATAAAAATATTTTTCCTTTCACATATATTTTCTACCTGTGGCAAATCAAATGTATTCCTTTTCTTTCTGTATCAGCTCTGCCTAACTAATATTTTAGAAATTTGGTATTTTTTAAAGGTAATTTCTTTCAAGAAATTTGAAGATTTCTATTTCATTAAACACGTGTATATGACAATCTTGATTTCCCTGTTTGATTTTTAGATTAGAAATGTAAGTCTCGCCTGCTTTGGTTCACCTGGGCATTTTATGGATACATCACAGCACATCAATTATGACTTCCTCATTATAATAGCATATGAGGGACAGTCTCCATTCGGGTAATTTTGCTGTCAGCTGCAGAGCAATACAGTTCAAGAACAAATAATTTCTCAATGACAAGCAAGTAGGAGTGCTTTCTGCTGCAGGATTTAAAAGCATCGTCACCCAAGCTCTATGCTACTTTGAAGATGTTTTATTAGCCATCTCTTTGGTCCCTACCACAGAAACAGGCACGTGGAATTTGAGATAATACCAGAATCACAGAGAGATGGAATAGAAAGGATTAATTGTGCAGTCCTGCCTTGAAGCAAACATGCAAGCTGGTGATGAGGGCTTCATTTTGCATAGGGCCTGCTGAAAGTAATCACGCTGTATAAATGACACATTAGAGATACATACATGGCTGGGAGTCTGCCTGTGAATTACCCAAATACCATTTTCCTAACGATTCCTTCTTTCAGATGACAAATCAAGCTATTTAATTGCTAAGCTGCTTTTGCTCATATCCCCGAGGAGCAGGTACCCAGGTAACCATGGAAACTCTATTTGTAGATACATGGGGAAAGGTAATCCCTTATTTCTTTATATAACAGAAAAACAAAGTCTGAAGGCATTGTCCATATAAGTACTAGAACATTTTCTAAGAAAGATTTATCTTTTAAACAGGCTACTTAAAAACAGAAGGGGAAATCTTTCTGAAATTCTAGGGTCCATTATTTTATATTCAGGATATTTAAAAGACATTTTGTTTGGTTTTTATTTCTAAATACACTGGATCAGAGCAAACAGTCTCAAGGAGAGAGACTCACCCTATTTTACAATTACAAAAACCAATCCCCAACTGATTAAAAACCCATGAACTCTTCATGCTCAGAAACAAGTTAAGCCTTATTTTTACATTATAACTAAGAAACAAACCTGATGATTTTTTCCCTTCAAAAGCCAACCAAACCATCAAGTATTCATAGAAAATCAGGTTGCTGTTTCCAAACCAGACTTTAAAAAATATTTTTTGGGAGGAAAACTTTGCTATCATCTACAAACTGCACGCAGTATTTCTATTTCCTCTTACAACTAGGGAACCAGTTGAACTCCATAACTGAGGAATTGTCCTGTTTTTCCAAGGCCTACAGCTACTGGAGAGGATGAAGTTATTTTAATACTCATTCCCTCCTTATGCCTAACTTAGAAAAAAGAACAACTAACTTGATATAAAACAACAAGAAGAAAAACACCACAGGCATCAACATTAATTACCCCTAATCACTATGAAAATACATTTGATACTTGGCAAATCTTGAAGAAACATTTCATGCCACTGCTTTAGTTTTTACATCTATAAAAAGGAATAATTAATATTCAAAAGCACTTTTTTGCATTTGTGAACCCACAGCTGGGTTCTTGCTAACTTGTCTTCTTAAGCAATATAAACTCTTTTGCTACAAACTCCAGCTACTCTGCAATTTGACATGTTTTCATTCACAACTGTTTGAAAACCTGAGTTATTAAAAGATGAAATCTTAAAAACATACAGGGATGTTATTATTTTGGCTCAAGATATTACCCCAAAAAGGGTGTGCATTTTGAAAGTAAGCAATGAATAGAGGAATACTGTCTGACCAATGTGCTGGATTCAGAACTTTAAAGCACAAGTCCTCGTGAAAACATCCAGTCCAGCCTGAGCTGGAGGCAGACAACCATATGACATCAGTTTCAGCAGGTTCCATGCAAAATGAAAACAATCAAGAGCACTAGGGTGACTGTTGCCACTCTCTCCCTAAGGAGCTGTTCCTTCCCTGGCAGTGCTTCTCCGTGTGTCTGCCATCAGAGACATTTTAGTTAGCCAGGGCAGATACATCTTTTGGAAGAACACTCGAGTTGGGACCATGAACAGTAGAAGCAAAGCCTTCAGCAGCCAGGCTAAATAAACACGGATTGTGGAACAGCTAATGGAACCATGTGTCTGGCCTGTGCTTTTCAAAGTCTTGGCTACACTGGGCACACGAGTTACATTTTCTTTCTTCAGTTTCTTTACTTTGCAGGCTTTCTTATTTATTATGCTTGCAAGTGCTTTTCTTTGCCAGGGAAGACACAGAATTAAATCATCCACAGCAGGTCAAGACTGTCTAAATAAAACTTCATTACCCCCTCCTGCCAAACAAGGCAATACCTTACTATTTTTAGTAGCATTTTAACATACCACTCTCTTATAAGAGACAGCAAAAATGGAATTTGCAGGAATAAAGGTGAAGTTCAGATATTTACATACTTCTTCCTTTTTCAATGTCTATAATAAGGAACTAAGTAAATCCCTGAGCTAACATATGTGAATAACAAAAATTCCCATCAGGCCCCGACTGGTAACAAGTATAATCAGCTGTAACTACAGAAATTTATCTGCCGTGCACTGGCAACACTTTGCTATCTTCACAATAGGAACGACCATGGAAATGATGAAAGAATAAAATTATAAGGCACCATTTCCCAAGTGACTCAAGCTGAGCTAAAAAACATACTGCTTCCAAAAGGCCTGTCCCTCTTCTCTGTCCTGGCTCTACACTCCTGCATGCACACATGTGCCAGCATAAGCATTTACTCTTACTGAGCTGACTGAAACCCAAATCTACTCAAACACCCACGTGGAGAACTGATCCAGGGGCTGATTCAGCTGATCATAAACTGTACTGGCAATACACCTCCCTAAACAGTCCAGGGAAGGAGATACAACTGGGAGAGCCAAACTGTTCCTTTTGGCAGCAGTGGGGACCTAACAAGGATATAAAAGATCTGTGAAACAAAATCCTGATGTGAATGATTTGATCTTAGGATGGTTATTCAAAAGTATTTCATACATCTGTTAACATTAAATGTACCATGTTAATAAAGTCCAGTTTTAGAGCCCTTGTTGGCACATAAGAACAACTTGTCTTCACTGCAAGATGTATTTGCTGATAAAACATGGCTATGTGTAAACTGACCTCAAATGATTAGGAAAAGAAAATCAACACATACAGGATCTCATATTAATACCACCTAAAAGTGCTTTTAGATGAGAACTGATTTTTAAAAATTGCTTATCACTAGCCATTAATATTTTGTTTTCCAGTAACTGAAAATTGTAATTGTCACGAGAGGGTTTGTATCATATCTAGTTTTATTTTTCTCTTGTCCTTTCCTGTAGAAGAAAAGCTGGTTCACTCTCTAAAGGTTCCTTTTTCAAGAAACCATTCTTATTCATGAAGAAGCCTTACATGTATTATCAATTTTGGATATTAAATGATTAAGTGATTTCTGGAATTAAAACTATGAGAAGCATTAACTCAATGGTACACAATTAAAAAAAGGTAACTACACCTAGCTGGAATGAAGCAACGCTGACTTACCTGCAAACAACACAGGCTAATCCCATTTCCATGGCAAAGTCATCAGCACTGGTTTCCTCAAAGCTAGATAAATCAGGCATGGATAAATCCTTGCTCGTCTGAACTGTAATAGGAGAGGAACGAGCCTCTTGCTTCTCTACTCTGGGCTTCTTTGGTGCATCAGCTCCTTCAGCAGGATCCCCTTTCATCTATTAAACACACACACCGAGAATGTGAAAATGCAACAAGATAACAGATTATTAAAAAGAATTAAAATGGAACAACGAGATTAACAGTATAAGAAGGTGCACGTTACGCAGCACACACACTATGTATTTTCTTTAAATATTTTCTTGAAAATACTTATGAACTAGAAGCTCAAGTCTCCTTTTTGTATTTTACCTCAAAATCCTGGAAAAATCTTTGGCAATATCACATTTCAACTTGCTACATTTTAGTAATCTCTTATGAGATAACCTCTTAGGATTTAAAACACAGAATGGTTTGGAAGGCACTGTAAATCCAACCTCCCCACAATGAGCAGGGAAAACAACCACACAAAAATTACAAGAAGGCATTTATTAGACTGCCTAAATGGCAACATTACTGGCTAATATAGCTCACGGGCACCATAAAATTAGTTGAAAAGGGGAGCTTTTGTCTAAAACATCCTTAAATTTATTAAACAAGTTATTTCACTAGAGAACAAAAATAACTTACTTTATCTGCAGATCTCTTTTCTGTTTCTTTTTTCACCTTTTCTGATGCAGTGGGCTTGCCATTGTTGTTGCCAGAAGGCAAACTGGATGAAGCTTTAGGCTCTTGCTTAATGGGTTTGGTAACAGATACTTTTGGTTGCTCCACTTCCTGTAAACAGAAACAAAAATTGAAGCCAAATTCTGCAATTGAGTTCCTATCTATTTGCAATTAGTGAGATAACAGAGTAGGCAAACAATATGCCACAAAACACTGATCATCTACATACACACTTTTTAAAATACATTTCTTAAAATATTTTCATACCACATCAACAAATTAGTGTTTGAATTGCAGAGAATTAATAAAATCTTCCCTTACGACTCACTTTTCTGAGGAAAAGGTGCTCCTTTTCCAAAGACAGATCCTCTTTGGAACATTAATTGGAGATATTTCTGCTTTTAAAATTCAAAGAGGTAATGAACACAAATTTTCTGAGGATAGCTCTGAGGACAAAATTCAATATAAGCTAAAAACATAAGCTGACAACTGATGTAACCAGACATCAATACTTCATTTCCTCATGGAGAGAAATATTGACCTCCCCTTAATCTCAGTCCATATTTGTATATCAGATTAACAAATTTAGATCTCAACATAAATCAATGGTTCCTATTAATGACACATTAGTGTCAGCAAATGGATAATAACCAGGAGAGCCTGCAAATGAGTGACCAGTCACACTGATGGGCACCAGCAAGGTACCCCGTCCCAGCTGGTAAGATGGGAGCAATTCTCTGCTGTATACCAGGACAGGTCCTAAGGCCTGAACTTCAGCCCTCCAAAGTTGCTTGAATTGACTGTGGTAATCCTGTGCTCCCTACTCTCTTCTTGGATTTCATGGTCAACCACAAATTAACCCTGCAGCCAGTAAATGCAAAGAAAGGAATTCTTGCACATTTTCTCATTTCTGACCTTTGCAGTTGTGCTGATATTGGATATAAACTGAAAAGAGGAGAACAAAAGACTTCTTCCTCTGGCCCGAGCCTCAGTTTCACCCGTGGGCAGGTGACTGCCAGGCAAGCTGTTATTAGAATTGGCTTCCCAAAACTCTTTGCACTGTTATTCTGCTCCCTGCTTCCTCTTAAACTGCACATTGCTTCTTTGAGTTCTGACATAAAGGGCACTTGAGAGTTTTGAGACCTGTGTTAGGTCTCAGGGAGTTAAGATGAACAGAAAGGAGTGAGACCACACAGTAAAGCATGACGTATGCGGAGCAGTACTAGCATGTTTTAGTTATTTGGAACCATGTAGAAATGAAATACTGCAAATGTATCAGCATACAGACCATCATTAGAACACAGCAGGCTAACTTGCAGGCATCCTAGGGGAGAACAAGACCTCATTATCCATATGGTGATACACAGCACCACGAGGATGCCCCTGCCTGCCTATTTCCATACACTCACCTCAGAGTCAAATATTCTCTTTAGCAGGTGTTCAGTGATTTTCAATAGATGAAAAGCAATGTTTGTCCATTGAACAGCAGTGGTTTCAGCCTGCAAATCATTTCTGCTTTGAACCACTTTTTCCTCATATGATTTTATCAACAGAATTTCAAGGAAAGAGATACAGCTTTATTGGTAAATAGCTAATTTTGTTTCTTATTTACCTGTGGCAAAGGTGATCTATATCTTAAAGACCTTTTAGCTCTGAAATGTAACTGCAGAAATATGTAAGTCTGGATGTACCTTACACAGCCATGTCTGATATAATGCTGAATATCACTTAAGTCTTGGTGCATGAACAAGGTAAAGAGATTTTTTTCCCATTAACTACCATTAATTGAATGGATTATGTTGTATGGAAGAGGGGAATGATGAATATGAACAGTCCATAATTACTTCCTCTTTTTCCTCAACTTCTGATTCTCTTTTAACTTTTCAGCTGTAAAAGAGGAGCTGGGAACAGCAGGCGCTATTAAGGTACACAAAAAGGAGCCATGCTCCCTAACACCAGTACCTTCTGAGAGGGACGATAGCTTGAGTCAGTTCCTCTGGCCAACGACTCGTCAAGAAGTGCTTTGAGTTTTTCAGCAGAGTCCTTACTCTTCGAGTGCAAAAAGCCCAGAGCTTTCAGAAAAATGGGATCCAGCTCCAAGTTCACTGTAGCAGCCATAGTTGTGTCTTCAACGGGAATTAAAAGAAAAGAAAAACAACAACAACTTTATTCACACAGGGTGTAATTCAAAGAGCATGTGGCAATTAGGATATTTCCTTTAAAAATGAAATTATATTAAACCACAGCAAGGGTTATATGTCAATTAATTATCATTAGAAGATGACTGAACTTCAGTGCTGCAGAGCTTAGAATACGACTAGACGTCTGAAATGCCAAATTCATTCTTTGGCATATATGATATTCAGAAATTAAACTCATCATACTTACATAAATGAAAAAATATTTCATATCATATTCTTGATATTTCATAGATAAAAATATTGAAAAGTATGCAAAATAAATTTTAACTTCAAGAAAAGCAATTACCACCCTTCTTAACATACTGTGATTTCTAAGTCATTGATCATTTAAGACCAACTAGGAAAAATCTTACTTGTAGAATTAACTTTTGAAACTTCTGAGAAAAATAGCTCATTGTATCATATAATATGTATACAGCTAGTGTACTATTTTATATATATATAAAATAGCTGAAAACCAAATTTTTAAATTTAGCTGAAGCAGTGAAAAAATTTATAACTCAGATTGTGACTTATCCACATACTCATGTGACAGTCTAAGTGTAATATCAGACAATGACTATCCAGAACTGCAAGATGCCACGGTGCTCATGGAAATGGAATAAACTGAGGAAAAGGTTACAACGACTTTATAAAACTGTTTGCCTCATAGCAATACATTCCTGCACTCTGGAGCACTCTGTGTTAATTTCCTTAAAAAAAACTCTAAGAAACAGCATTTACACCAGAAATTGTTCCTACAAAGATAGATACCTAACTTAAATTAGTAAGTAACAATTAATAAGTTAAGAAATAACACCGGAGGTTTCCTGATCTTTTCTAAAAATGTATGATAAGTGTTATTGTTAATAATCCCTTTAAATTTCATTTAAAACACATCAGGATATTAGTGGGTTTGGGTTTTTACCTACGATAATCTAGAAGACATTCTGGAAAAGCCTCCCATCAAAAGACTGTCTGGACAGCTTTTACAGCTGAGGTTTCCAAGGTTTTGTCTGATTAATTCCTTTTGATATTCATGGCAGTGAACTTTTACCTCTCAGGCCAAAACACCAGCACTGGCAGGCTGCTCCCTCCACACTTGCCTACAAGTCCCCAGGAACCTTTATCTCATGCTGAGCTTTCACATGACACCAGAGAATTGCTCGACTGAGATCATCAAGGAGTTCAACATACAGAACTTCATAGGGATTTTATCAATGGACCCAGCAGAGAGTTAGGAAACCTCTTCAAGAGCCCCTTCTCTCTTCCTTAATCTTTGCTACTTGACAAATCATTTTCTGGTGGCCACAGAACTTCTGCCAGGAAGTGTTACACACCAGCTACTCAGCTGTATCACTGATCAAGCACAGACTGCAGCGCAAGCCCTGTCTTGGCAATTAGCTCTCTCTCATGACTATAAAAAGTGAATTCACAGAGCATAGAAAGCACATACCCTCTCTTCTTTATGCATCTACCTCTGATAAATGTTCAGGCTGCTCTTGAGATCTGTGGGTAGATTATGTCCTGCATTTCTTTGTTCTGTGAATATGCCTTCCAGGTGTCAGTACCACATAGTCTTAAACCAGGACTCTGTTAAACCCTCTGCTGAAGGAAAACAGCAGAAATGAAACACTAATTTCAGATATTTTGTAGAATTCCCTGTTAAAAAAAATTCTTTGAGTTCTTCTCCGAGGGAGAGAGAGTTCTAGTAGGAATATATACTTGTGTACATGAGAAACAGGCAGCCTCAACAGTCATTCACAACCATTCTCTTTAGAGAACAAATGTAAACATAATTCAATTTTCATCTCTCTGAAGGTAACACTTTCCATATTTGTTTATAGCTCCAGCTTTTAAAAGACATATATTGAAAGAAACCCCAAATTTCAAAAGGGTTCTCCATATTTATTCTTTTATTTGCTATGTAATTGCAGCAATTCTTTCTCTGTTGTTGAGGACAATTATAATGTCCCAGGCTACTACAGTTACGACTAACATACCACAAGAAATTTCACATGAGAAGAGAGGAAAGTGGGCTTAGTAAACAGTTCAAGTATGCTCAGCTTAGGCAAATATTTTCAAATTGTGAGTTAGAGAAGGGAAGCATATTCAACAGAAAGACGAACACATCAAAAACTATCTTAAAAATAGCATCATCTGAAAAGAGCAAATTGATAATTATGCTCTCCTTATGGGACCATAATAACACTGCTGTCAAACAGGCTACTAACAACATCTGTCCTGGTCCAAAAGGCAAATTATTGCTTTTGGTAGCGGCCCTTTCCAGATGTTTGCAGATCAAACCGTTTTTAACTATCAAACTGGTTTGCCACTTCTAAACCTAAGATCCAATTTCATTCATTCAAGTTTTCATTTACAAACTGGTCCTCTGACAGTCAAGTCAGCATACAGCAACGTGACAGCCTCGAGACAAGGATAGCAGAGTGTTTCAATGATGATGCCATAGGCTATTCTGCAATATAGACCTCCTTGACTTTCTTCTTGAAGTGGAATCTTTGTACAGGAAATAATCCAAATGCTGTTTAGAAAAGAGTGAGTATGACACTGTCTTTTCTGTATTAGATTGATAATGCTGCTGTGAGATCAGAGGGCTTTGTTAAAATCCTTAAACCCTGAGCAGAACAGGTTTTGCACCAAGCAAGCACACCCTCTTGCAACCCAGCATTCACACATCAGCCTTTCTCAACTTAGGCCTCTGTTACCTCCCAAGGTGGACTATTCTAAGTGGTTTAAATCCATGGGGAAACATAGATGTTTATCAGTGAGTTCTTATTCTTAAAACATCCAAGAAGTTTTGGATTCTTTCATTTCTTGAGTATACTACTGTCTTCTGCCAAATACAACCAACCTTAACTGTGCACTCTACAGAACACCTAGTCTTCCAATTTAAGACTCATTAGATTTATAGGGTGTGGAAGCCCTCTTCTTTTTTTCATTCATTGGCCATCTACGATTTTGCATGCCTGCCTATGTATTATTTTATTCATCATAGCTTGCAGCTAAATGGATCTATTTCCATTATATTTTCAGATATGGTCACATTTTCAACCATCTGTTTCTGAGCTCCATTCCTATTATTTTCTGAGGTAGGTGTACTACTAAAGATGTTTTTCCAAGAAAGTACACATCTTATATTTATACTGCAATGCTATTATAGACTTCTGCTATTACACCACCCTTTTATAGGCTCATTAATATTTTTAATTTTTGCTGACATTGATGATTAAAAAGCCTTTCACTCACATATCCTTTTCAGCTACCTTCAAGATCTGTAGCAGTTACCTTAAAACACAGTCACATGAATCAACAGCTTATTATTCTTTCCAACACACTCACTGCACTGGTTTTCACTTACCACCATGAAATCAATTCACTTTTCCATGTCCCTTTGGATTCTTTTGTTCCTCAGAATTTACCCTCTTCCTCACTACATCTATTAACAGTGACAGTGGCAGATTTTGCTTAATTTACCAATAATGCCTCTTCCAGGTCACTTCCAGATCTGATGAGTCTTAAGAAAGTAGATCAAGGAAAATCTTACAAGCAGGAAAAAATGAACTGCTATTTTCAGTTTTTGCTACAGTATCTTAATCAGCACTTGATTTATGACAGCAGAATTTCTCAGTTACTTTCCACAAGGAACATCTCAAAACTCACACACTTCAGTAGTCTAGATAACTGTATTAATGAGAACAATTGTATTAATCAGTTCTAATTTCCTTGTCATCTTCTTCAAAGAATCTTTTAAGACACGTATAAGATCCCCTGCCCTGGAGTTACTAGTAGTGGAATCCTTAATTTTGCATTTTATTCTACAATTTTACCATGTATTTTTAAATTAGTATTCCAATCAATATCACCGTAACCGGTTTATCTAGTATTTTTAAGATTACGCTAATGCCCTGTATTTGCTGTTTTCTCCACAGAAACAGTGAATTATTTAAGAATCACAGAATCGTTCCCTGTGGAAGGGATCCCACATGGTCACCCTGTGCAACTTCCTGTTCAATGCAAAGTTAATACTGAATTCAGACCAGCTTGATCAGGACTTTTCTAGCTGGATCCTGAAAATCTCCAAAGACAGGAATGCAAAAAATCCTTCTGGGCAACCTGTCCAGAATGCCTCACTGTCCTCATTTCCATTGGAGGTTTTAACTTGTGCTGTCTCATTCTCCCACTATGCATGTGAGTACGAAGACTGGCTCTATCTTTCCAATAATAATCTCAGGTAAATTAAAGCTTCCATTGTATCCCCCTCAGCCCACAGCAGATGGTATCCAATACTCCCTCCATCTTCAGATCTAGCTATTTAGTCACAGACAACAAGCCAATTGATCAGACATGGTTTATCCTTGGTAGATCTGGCTCTTCCCAGTTTCTACCTGTTCCTTCTTATGTCACAAACGGCTTCCTCCATGATCCATCCACAAGAGAAAGGAATGAGGCTGACCAGTCTGTAGTTCTCTTGCTTGTCCTTCTTGCCCTTTATGAAGAGGAGCATAAGATTTGCCTTTCTCCAGTTTTTGGGATCTCTCCCAGTCTCAGAGCCTTTCAAAGATGACAGAAAGCAGCTTTGTGAAGACCCTGTCAGCTGTTGGCACTCTTAGATGCAGTCTACCGGGGCCCCATGGACTTATCAGGGAAACAATCCCGCTTCAATCCTCTTCCACAACTAGTAGTTCCTCCTCTCCTTAAGCTCTGCCTTGTGGCAAAAGGCCTTGGGAGACCTTACAGGCCAAGTCTGTGGCAAAGAAGACACCAACTATTTGACCCTTATCTGCGTCTGCTGTCACTAACACACTTGTTCAACGCAGCAATAGTGACATATTTTCCTTATGAATCCTTTTCCTGATAAATGGCATGATCCTTGTGAGTGCCTTTCAACTCAGGATATTTTGTGATAATTGTACCTGCACAACTGAGATTTGCTAAGCCCTGCTACTACTGAGCTTCAATATTCTGCACAAGATGGACCTGAAGATGTTTCAGCACGTCACTGCTCATTGACTTAAGTCACTGGTAAATTGAGTACACCTCCACTACTGTTTTCACCTTTGCCTTATTCAATGTCTACACTAAAACTTATTAAGTGTACAAATCCCTGGGTACCATCCTCCTGGTAATTTCTCAGAGAGAGAAGCAAACTTTAGTTAAAAACGAATTTCTGAAACAGTTATGCTCAAGCCACAACGTGACCCCCTGCAACATACTAGCTGCAAATTTCTCCCTGGGATTTCTTTTTACGAAGGAAGGGCCTCTCATCTGAAAGCAACGCCTTAGTAGGCTCAAAACAATAAAATGCCACCCTCCTACAACCATTATTGCCCCGCACGGACTTCTCGGAGCTGCGGCTCCGTGCGTGCCCGTGTGCCCGTCCCTTGGCACCATGGATTCCCGCAGCGACAGCGCGACTGCCGCTCCCTCCGGGCCCTGCCGGCACCGCCGGACACCCAGAGCTCACCCGGGCCCGAGGGAAGGAGCGGCCAAGTGCGCCTGAGGGCTCCCCTCTTCCTCCCTCGCTGCTACCAAACACCCTATTTCTCCCACCCAAACCTACCCTTACTGCCCTTTCCCAACCCCTTTCTCATCCCAAACGCCTCTTCCCACTCCCAAACCTCCTCTTTCTCCCTCCCCCCAAATTCTCTTTCTCTTCACCAGACCCCTCTGCTCTCTCCCGCTCTCCCTCTTCCCCCCCTCCTCCCAAACCCCCTATGCCTCCTCCCAAACCCCTCTTCCCCTTCTAACCCCAAAATTCCCTCTTCCGGTTGCCAAACGCCCTCTGTCCTCGCTCAACTCCCCTCTTCCTTCATCCTTCCAATCGCTCTCTGCCTCCTCCCAATCGCCCTCTTCCTTTCCCCTACCCACCCCAAATTTCCTCTTCCCGATCCTCTCTTCCTCCTCCCAAGCACCCTCTTCCAGGCCCCGCAGAACCGCCCGCTGGTGCCTCACCGGAGACGAGGAGGAGAAGGAGGAATAGGAGGAGGAGGACCGAGGTCCGCCGCCGCCGAAGTCCCCCCGCACACCGCGGGCCGCGCTCGGTAGTTCCGGGCGGTGTGCGCGGGCCGAAGCCGCGCAGGAAGGGGCGGAGCCGGGGTGGAAGCGGCCGGGCCGGGGTAAGGAAAAGCAGCGGGAGAAAGGGCAAGATAGAGGGAGGTGGCTGTGGAAAAGTCTTGGGCTTGGTTTGGCAGTGCTGTCTGGGGGCCGAGAGCAGCTGGCAGCAGAGGCTTTACGGAGCAGCTCTGTGAGAGAGTTCTGGTTCGGTGGTGTCGCTCTCTGTAGTCGCCGAACTCGGGCGTGTGCTCCCATCCTGAGTCCCGGCTCTGTCCCCTACGTCCTGCGTCTTATCCCCGATGTCCCGGCTCTGTCCGCGATGTTTTACTCTCTGTCCCCCACGTCCTGCGTCTTATCCCTGATGTCCTGGCTTTGTCCCCGATGTCTTACTCTCTGTCCCCGATGTCCCGGCTCTCTTCTCTGTGGCCCACCTGCGTCTGGCTCTCCAGCACCGTCCGCAACTTTCACTTTATTCACAGACCCGCCTGAAGCTCGGGTCCGAAGCTCTTCTGTGCTTCCCTCAGGGCTCCGTGAGGGTGCAGGGGTGGCCCTGAATGCATCCCGTAAATTCATCGTCTTGGATAGAAATATAACTCCAGGCTCTCAAGTTATGTGCCTTAAAGCACAAATAATACTTTGCACTAAGTTAAATATTTGCCACCTTTTTAAAGAGCATTATATTAAACATTTCTCAAATGTTAACGTACCTGCTTAACAAAAGTTCTGTTTTACTGTATGGTAATCAACAAATGAATGGGATCTTTTTCAGGGATTAAAAGGAAGAGAATGCTTATGTACTTACTTAATTGTCTTTAATTTTTATGGGAAACACTTGGTTTTTAAAGCAGCGATTTTCTTTATTACATTGTTAACAGGGCAGCTGAGTGAAACTAATTTAACTTGTTTAGTGCGTGTTGAAAGGGAAGAGAAAATGGTAAAAAACAGCGTAGCTAGTGAAAGTTACACTTACATAATATTTATAATTTTTAAGTAGATGTCTTTTATACCAAAGGTAGGCAACATTATTTGTCTTTTAATTTACAGTGCAAATCCTGTGTTGATCATTGCTTTTCATTTTCTCTCTTTCAAACAGTGGCTACTGTAAATATGGCCAATATAATAAATATCCATCTCTTGGCACAGAATTTACCGTCTAATTAGGGGAAAAAAGCACTGGGAAAAATACATTGAGCAAATACTGCAATGTCTTATTAGGTTTGGTTAGTTTTGCATTGCACATTTCATTTTATTGTATATATATCTGTGTCTGCTTTTGTCTCAGTAAGCTGCCAAGGGATTAATAAACACATTTAATAGATGGGTAGTAGTTACGTGAAAAGACTTAAGTGAGAATGGACAACTAGGTAGGCTCAGTCTTTGAAATGAAAATCTTTGCATAAATCCACAAGGAATGTAGACTCTGCAGAGCCAAAACAGTGTGGAAAAGCACCTGTATTGGAAACAAAAAATATAGGAAGCGACTTTGTAGTGTCAGTGCTTAGAAACAAAATATTAGAAGGAATTCTTGGAGGTAAAATGTGGGAGAGGGGTGAGGTGTTGCAGTGTAAGAGTGTCCAGCTCAGCTGAAGTGATGATTCAAGAAGGCCTTTCTTCTCACAGAA